CAGGCAAATGATCAAAATTATCTGTCAAAGATAAGCACACTTAACCTTTTCATCGCTCTGGTCTGGAGAAAAGACACAAGCATATTGAGCCATACATTTGTATTGAACTGTGAGGGTTGTGTTGACCAATTTAATATTGTTCAGTATTCAGTATTGAGTAGTGTTGCTTCCCTAAGCAGCTGGATTTCCCACAGTAGGGTAACATTACAGAGTTAGTGCAGATTATAATTTTAACTGAGATTGCATGATTATCTGAATTCTCAGACAGATTGACATAAAGCAGCGGTGTCCAAACTTTTTTCATCAAGGGCCACATATCTAAACACAGACGAAGCAGAGGGCCGATCAAGGGCCGTAGACTGGTGCTCAGTACAGGGAATAATTGAAATATGTGCATGTTTAACACGTTAGAATGAGCCATCGGTCTTTATTCATGCTAAGATCCTTAAAATCACACACAAAATATTAAATATTAGCTTCATCAAGGTAGAATTTCAAAAAACTTGCAGTAAATTTTTTTTTTTTTAATTGATGCAAGGTAATTTGGGCTAATTCACCTGGAAGCCTGAGGGCCAAGAAAAATTAGTCTGAGGGCCACATTTGGCCCCCGGGCCATAGTTTGGACATGCCTGACATAAAGTCTTCTTAAATTAGAATTATACAGTTAATTGCAATTAATTATACAAAATTATACCAATCTATTCTAAACTATCTGAATGAAAATACAGAGGACATCTGAGTGTTCAAGAACGTTTCAAATGATCCACCCACAACTCGCATGTGGTATAACAGAAAGACAATCTGGCATTAAACACATAAATATGTTCATCTTTACCACTATAAATTGTATAAAAGTTTTACTTTCTCATAATTTCTTCTCATTTTACTTAACCAGTAATAATGTGGATACAAAAAATATATTTTGTCACATTTTTCTGTTGAAGTATTTTATGTTGATCCAAAGCAAATTATTATTTTTTTTAAGATTATATATTTAAAATATAATTTAAAACATTTATTTTTTATTTTTTATGGATAAACCCTTTGTGACACGCTGTATAACATATCATTAGACTTTACTGATACTCCTATTTGAATAATAGAGGGTGTTTCTTGTATGGCAATGAGATCTTTTTGTCCCAGTGGCGCCCCCTAGCAGCTGTGGTGGGTAGTGCAGCTGCTGGTTGAAGTGGTGTAGGAGTGACATATTGTGACAGGCACATTACAGGTGTTTGTGGCTCGCACAGGACTGAAGTGTGCTTAGATACTGACAGAAGAGCAGAGCCTGTGTCAGGAGCACCACACCGACTGTTTCACCAACCTGCCACTTTCACAAAACCTGCCACTGCATGTTTCAATATAACCTGGGAACTGTCAAAAGGAGGACAGACAGCAAGATTTGTAGAGCTGTTATACGGCCTCCTGCCAACTGGAAATCAATATTTAGCGTTCAAGATTTATATCCACTTGCAAGGGAATTTAAAGCTGTACTGCGCAACTTTTCTGCTTGCTACCACCACAAAGAGACATTCCTGTGTCTGGAAAGTTGGACAGTATAGCATTAAACCTAATCTTCCAGTTATCTCTTTATTGCTCAAAAATATATTTCTCATTGTTAACACAAACACATTTACACAGATCTGACTTGTAACAGTTAGGTCTAGTGACATCACCTGCTTGTCTCTATGGAGTTAGATAAGTTCAATGCCATAGTGTGAATTTTTCCAGATAAAACAATAAGATTTCTGTGGAGAAAAGCACATGTGGGCAAAAAAGTTGACATATCACACTTTTTTAAGCTAATATGTACAATGATAAATGTTAGAATTATGTAGTTTATGTGTACCATAAATGTAGCACTATATTTAAGTAGTATTTCTATAAGTAGTAGCAGTAGCACTAGAAAATACTCTGTATAGCCAGTAGTTACTTATTAACGCTTCCGGCTGTAGTGTTGTTTATATGCAAGTGCTAAAAGCTTGAGATTTTCTGCTAATAATATTACGTTGAAGTACTTCAAGGACTTTATCAAGGCACTGTATTAAAGGCGCACTGTGTAATTTTGTGGCACTTGTCCCATGGAAATGTTACTGCTTAACCTGGAATGTCCCACAGTATTACTTTAAATGTATCCCTATGGAGACAAGCAGGAAGCAGCAGGAGGCAAAGTTACCGGTCAGACCTGTGGAAAGGTGCCATAGCTCATAGTGAGAAAGTGTGTTTTTTGAGGTAATTTCAAGCAATAAAAACACCTGCAGTTGTTTTATAACAATTTCATAGATATATTTAATGCCTTACTGTGGAACATGCCAAGCAAAGCACAATAGCTTCATGGAGACAAGCAGTTGGCAGACTGGGCCATTAACAAAAAAGTTTTATAGTGGACCTTTAAGTGGTACTCCCTCTGTTAAACAAATTCTTATGTTTTAATTTACCAGACGAAACAAGGCACAGGTTGATGGATTGTGTTTGGCACAGATGTAAAACAGCCACCAGAAATAGTCTCAGTAATTTCACTAATAAATCTTTGCGTTCAGTACATGACAAGTACTTAGCTTCAGCAATCAATAAACTAATTCCAGCAACAGTATAAGAATGAGTGCACTCTAAAGATGCCATAGTGCAATATGAGCCTATGCCTCCACAATGACAGGGAGTGTGTGCTATCTCTGAGTGACTGCAAGCTAATTGCCCTTAATTAGTGAGTCTTGATTAAGGTGCAGCAGCTTCAGACTCACAAAAGGAAGCCACGAGCGATGATCCCTGTCACTATCTCTCCATTGTCATTGTTCATTTTAGCATTAATACTGCTTAATTGTTCCTACAAAATTAGCATAATTATACCTTATTTGACTTTTTAGTTTCAGACTAGAAAATTAGTAAATTGGTTAAAAATAGAGGAAATGGCATTGCAGATACAATAGATTTGGTGGCATATGAGAAGTACCTATTGTTTTAACTTTAAAAGTGTTGTGTGAAACCTGCATTTATGTGAAAGCACTTTTTTGAAATAATTTGACTTAAAACGTTACTACCATCACTATAATAAGTCTTCTAATATTTGTGCTATAATTAGTACTTGTGTGCTATCATGGCAACGTGCCTGTGGTCAGTCGCCATTCGGTATGGGGATTTTCCTTTACATTTCCTTTACGTCATTTTAGAGTTACCAGACTGCCAAAGGACCAACAGTCTGAAGGCCATTTTTACACCTTGGAAAACCCATCTGGACCAAGACTGAAAGCCTGAATATGTCTACCTCCTATCTGGGGACACAGAGTCTGACTGTATACAAGTCAAGTTACTTGTATACAATTTCTTTAAATAAAATGTAAGTTTTGAGCCTTTAAGTTGAATTCAGCCTTTGACATCTGTTTTCTTTGCCTATGTTTGGTCCACTACAATGCCCTATTCTATAGCTTCTACTCCAGCTATTACTTACTTCACTGTTGTTGCTACCCACTACTACATACCGTACTTACTAAATACACAGTGGTACACAGTGGTAAACATTGTGGTAGACCGTCTGAGGACACTGTATGTTTGCTTATAATTAGATTTGCATGGTCCAAAGGCTACGCGCTTGTAATCATTGTTATTTCATGAAGCGAGCAGTGCTATCAATCTTCCCCCTCTGACTGGACATTTATATGCAAGGCCGAAAGACATTCTCACTCAGAGTTCAGTTGAGGTTCATAAATTGCTTCACGGACTGTTATTTTATTGTAACTACTGAGGTGGAGCTTAATGGTATAGACTTTATTTTTAGAAACCATGACTTCTAAAAGGTGCAGTGTGTAACTTTTCTAATGGACGTCCTTTATCTGCATGTCTCTATTGACATTATTTTGCCTAAAATGTTCCACAGTATGACATTAAATGTATTCATCTCCATGGAGAGAAGCAGGTGGTGGTGCCACCTAGCAAAGTTACATGCCAGCTCTGTGGAGAGCAATAAAGCAATAAATAAATTCATACCCCTCTAACTTTATAAATATAAGAAATACATTTATTGTCACATTGAGAAAAATTCCAGGCAGTGCAATAACTCCCCATGGTGGCAAGCAGGTGACAAATTCTCCACCTGAAAAGTTACACAGGGCATCTTTAATGTGATGGTCATTCAACAAAACATAATAAATACTATTCAGTAACAGACAGTATGGTGAGTTGAAAGAAGTGTTATAGTGCCCTCTGCCTAAAAATGTTACAACTGCATCCACTAGAGATGCAGTTTTGGAGATGCGAGGGGTTAGATGGGTCCACTTGTTCCTATAGAATCAATTTGGCCTTTAATAAAGTAGGCTATTTATAATAAATTCAAATTTCACTGATAATAACCTCTAGCTCACCCACAAACAGTGTTCAGTCAGTAGACATAACCCTTTGCCTTACCTCTGTATATTTCTTTTTTTTTTTGCTATAACATCCTTTTTACTGTGAGCAGGCCTGCAATGTCACAGAACTGACCTGTCACTGTTACTGTCAGCATCACCTTGTCTCGTCCTGGAGATAGGTAAGTCTAATGTCATACTGTAGAACATTCTAGGCAATGCTATAACATCTCCATAGAGACAAGCAGGTGGCATGCTCTCCATCAGAAAAGTTACATAGTGCACCTTTAAAAATTATGTTAAAAATATAGTCCATGTCATTATAGTGCACCTCTCATCTCCTCTTAAAAGCCCATGATAATGTGCTGCTTTTCATTTCCTTTCAGGGCCTGTTTGATTCCCCAAGGAAATTACCAGTGTTTCCAGTAAGTGTTCAATTCAATTAAAAACATGCTTAATTTCATCCTCATTGAACCTGAGCGTGAATAATCTTGTCGCTTATGTGCACACGTGGGCTTGATGTGATCTGGTGTTACCTGGAAACAATGGGCCACTAGGCAACTGAGGACTCCTGTTTCTTCATAGAGTTATAACAGTGTATAAAACAATAGACCCTTTTCTGAAGATGGATGGATTGTAGATAAGAAAATACATTTGAAACTGATAGCCAGTGACACCTTTTATTGCTTGTTTTTATTTCATGACAACACATTAAAAATTGAGTCGTGGCAATATAAAAAAAAGCAGCAAAAGGTTTATAACATTTAAGTTCGATGTTTCCATAATTTAGAAAACATATTGGATATACTGGTTTTACCTATGTTCTTAGTTCTGCTCTACTTTTAATTATACACAAGTTTTAATTATATATCGATATAGTATTTGTTTATGTTTATGCTTAGTATTTCCATAAGTGGTACTTTGTTAGCCAAGAATTTTCTGGGTTGTCATTTAGTTGGCATTTGCTGTCTAGTCAAAAGTAAATACAATACAGTAACATTTGTCCATCATTGCATTTACATACCATCTTGTTTTGAAATTTCCTTTCTTTCCCAATAAAGGTGCACTATGAAACTTTTCTGATGGAGGGTCAGCCACCTTGTCTCCATGGAGATGTCAACAGCACGGCATAAACTTATCTAGCTCTATAGAGTCAAGCAGTTAACAGCATCAAGCCAAGTTATCGATCAGGTCTGTGGAAAGGCAGCCCTGCTCACAGTAAGAATGCATTTTCAGGGTAATTCTGAAAATAGATAAGTTTAATGCCACGTGAAACAACCCAGACAAAGCATTAGTATCTGCAAGGAGATAAGCAGGTGGCATACTGCCCAGTCTTCACCAGAAAGATTGCATATTCAACCTTTAAAGTTTGTAATAAACACCAACACTTTTAAGATGAAAGTTTAAAAAAGTATTTATAATATGATACAAGGATATTTTGTGCAAGAGGTTGTGTGGGCTATGATCCTGTACAATATGAACAAATGCATTAGAAATTCAATAGCAATCCTGAAAGCAGATCATGACCATATAAGACCATGGTTTGTCAACAACTAACTACTATAGCTACTGCATACTATATGATACAAATGGTTTTCATATACATTGGCTGTATATTAGATTACATATTTATATAAAGTGCAATAAGAATAAACACTTACAGTAAAGGCCTGTAGTGCTTTGTGACTGAAAAACCCACCACCACCACTACTACTACTACTACCACTACCACATGCCGCATGCTGTCTCGACTCATGGCAACAGTCAACAATAACACTAATACAATGTTGGCCAAATATATACTGTAGTATAAAATGTATGAAAGGATTAACAATGCTTTACAAATATAATCGTTCTGAGAAAAAGCTATGGATTTTTTTTTTTTTTTTTTTTTACAAATTCAAATGCTTTAAAATTGCAGCTTCAAAGCATAGCACCACTATTGAGTATGAAATAACCTGAATTCAATCCTGTCCAAGGGGAATGGGGCATCATAAAAAGAGATAAGAAAATATAATGCAAGGTTAGTGACTAGATTACATGTTTGTGTATAGTTCATAGTTCTTTACATGTCCGTATAAGGTTTCAAGGTTACACAAAGAGAGTGAAGTCAGTATCACAGTCTTGAGAATACAGGAGGAGCATGGAGCGGTCCGACTGACTCTGTCCATTGCAGCCACTAACTCCCGCAGCAAGGGATTCTGGGAGTTTGTCTAGGTCTGCTGTGAGCCCTAGAGGAAGAGGATATCAGATAAAAATCTATAAGATTAAACATATAAAACAAAAAAAATAAAGGTCTGGACCACAATATGTATAATATCATTCAGTCAAGTTTTTAGACTTCATATAATTATCTCAATAATGAGATAAAATGTGCCTTTGTTAGATGAAGTTTAAATAGCTCACACAAGGTCAATAGACAGAATTCAAGGTGTCATATTACGCTTTTTTTTACTACTTAAAATGGTCAGTTAGTAATAAAAAATTAAACCATTGACTTTCAGTTAAAAATGCAGAATTGTGAAGTCCCGCCTTTCCTTGTTGCATTTCTTTCTAAGAAACAGCACATTTCCATTTAAATGTTTTTGCTGTTAAAAAATGGCTATGTGACATTTTTCATGTTATGACCCCAAAGGGAAGAAGGTGGAAGTAGGAAGCATGCATGACTCAAAATATAACCCCGAGTAAACTAGTAAGGAAGGAAAACCATTAGAACAAGGCTAAAGCTCATTAAAGGGGCTATATTATATAAAATTGACTCTTGTGATCTTCAAGCCATATTAGGATGTTGTTATCTCATCAAAAACATACCTAGTTTTGTTTCATTCATACATGTTTGAGTAACCCTTTATTCTTAGTCTGTCGACATCTCAAAATCTCAAAATCTTCTGCTCCACGTTATGATGTCATGAAGCTGTAGCTTTCCAAGTTAACAGCTAGGGAATTAATAGGGTAATTTCAATAGAAATGACCTATTTCAGAGCTGCAATTAATTATCTAAATGATTCTAGTGTAGGTCTATGGAGTTTAAAAGCACAGTGAAGCGATTCCTGTCTAAATGTGCACGGCTGATGAAACAAAACAGAACTCAACAATGGATATGTTTATGATGCATAAACATGATAATAAGGTCTTTTTGTAATAGTAATTGGCCATTGGCAGTTTTTGTTATGTTCATTGACAATATCCTAAATATTCAAATTTGACTAATTTGATATATATTTCCCCTTACCGAGTTGGTTCTCTTGCGTTTCCAACAGTCTGGGTTGAGTCTCTTCTGCTCCTCTGCGAGAGCTTTGGCCTCCATGGTGTACATCCTGCGCTCCTCGTTCTTCATCTTCTTCCACTTGTCACCCAGAATGACACTAATGGCTCTGAGGTGAACAGAGGCAGACAGCACATCAAATACTGGACCCCTCCATCTGTCTGTGGGATGGGCTCTGTCTGACACTCAAACCTCCCTCTGCTGTAACTGTCTGAGAAATATCGCAACCTTATACTCTTCATTTCTATATTTTTGTAAAGGCATTTGTCTACTAAACCAATAGCTATCCACTAATCATTAGAATGGAAAACATGAAGAAAGTCATTTTTGGTATTTCATTGTATACAGTTCAAATATGAAATAGGAGGAACACTTAATCGTTTTTGTCAATAGAGTTTCCTTAATTACAAACATTACTGGTAATTCCAGTTTAAAAGGCAACTCTGCCTGCATTATTACAGTTAAATGTGTCATGGTGCAAGTAATTACAGGTGTTTAACTTTGAAGAAAGGCAGCCCCAAAAATCAAGTACATTTTCACTTTGGATTGTTGTATCCTTTTATTATTTAAGGAGTTTATGGGTGTTGTTACAAGCATACTCGAAATCTTATTATTATAAGTTATGAGGCTATTAAAATGATCTGTTAAAAGCACCATTATGTAGTTTCATCCTGATCATGGTCCCTCTGATTACTCACATCAGATTTTCCATTTAAATGGAAAATAAATAAAAAATAATAAATAATAAAATTTTAAAGGTCCAGAAATTAGGTAATAATCAGATTTTGGTATGTATGTAAACAATGTCACTGTGCTCTCAAATGTTTGGCCTTATTTGATTATTATAAAAGTTGTACTCTGAACAGAATCCAGATTTTACAATATAAAAATATAATTAAAAATTGCAACTACATATATATCCAAAATTGTTCAGCCCTACTACATACTAGTACCATACTTCTTACACTGTTATACAGATGTTTTTCAAAGCTAATTCCAAAACTTCATATTGGACTCACCTGTTGTCTTTCCCAGGATACATCTGTGTGTACTCCACTCTGTACTTCTTGGCAAACAACATAAAGGCATTCATGGGCCTCTTGCATTTGGTTGGCGTGGCACTGCTGGTTGTCCCTGAGGTGTGTGCCCTGGATCTGTGGCTGGAGGATTGTGGGGAGTAGGAGCGTTCAAGTTTATCACAGTCTGGACTCACAGCGCCCCCACTGGACAGAGAGGTCCTGCGCTGGCGGGCCATGCTGCTCAGGACATACACAGCTGAAGAGTCAAGTGGGGTGAAGTCATAGCTGAGGAAGGGAAATAAAAGACGGTCTTAGTCTTTCGATGTAAAATACTGTGGCAAATGTAAACATAGTGACTTCACTGGTTTCTTTGTGCACATGAAACTCTTTTCTTTAATAGATCATTACCTTCTGAAAGTGTCAAAGACAACTGAGTCGTCACAGTTTATGGCATCTGGGTGGTTTGGCGGCAGGCATACGTCACCAAGCTGCATCTCATAACAAGGGATACCATGGTGCACCACAGTAAGGCTTGGATAGAAGGAGGACCACCCTGTTGGAAACACCATTTAAAAGCTTAATAGTGTTTTGTGATATTATAGGGAACATAAATCCTGAATGCTACAAGACATTTACCCTTATTTTTTACAAAAAATGGGTGGTCCAACCGACACTCAGCAGTCAGAGGGCTTTGGTCAGGTGAACCAGGGTCAAAGGTCAGTTTAAGAACTGCCTGACCATAAGATACAGTCTCCTCATGGCTCATCAGCTTCAACCCCTCTGATCCATATCTCTGTGCAAGAGCAGAGCAGAGAATCTGAATCAGCAAATGACAATAATACAGCTGTCAATACAGCTTTACCTATTCTGCCTCCTCATGGTCATTATAAGATACTAGATTTTCAGAAGACATCCACACTACTCCACCATACAAGGTAAATCATTTTAATACAAACAGGAAGAGAGTGAGGTGCATTATGTGTTATATGTGAGAGTTTTGTAATGGGTTTGTTTCTCACTTTCAGGGACGTTGAGGGCATCATTGTTTCCTCATCAGAATCATCGTCGGAGTCTCTGAGTTCGTCTGCTTCCTGCCACTCCACATTTGGCCCTCGGTGGAAACGGAGCCGTGTCCCTGGACAACAAACAAGGTAACAGCTATACACATCATGTAACAGGGTATGTTTGTTGTACTGCAGTTTATACACTAGAGGGCAGACATATCTACTGGTGCTTTGCATTGATCTTGTGGAGTAAAATTGGCAAAAATTTACAATCTTTATAAAAACAGAAACAAAAGCATAATTTTCATCATTGTTTAAATAACTTTTTTTTAATAATAAAGTTGTAACAAGACCCCATTGTGCAGTTATTACATACAGTACTACATTAAAAACTGAACAAATGAAGGGCAGTCCATTTAAAAGTGTGTTATCTATCCTTATATTCCTTATATAGCGTAAAGAACAATGAATTACAGTAACAGTCCTAAGCTTCATGAAGCTGCCAGAACAGGTTCTGTTTAAACTAGTGAAATGTGCCTAAAGCAGTTTCTTCGGTTCCCTTTGGGCAAAACAGTTTGAGTTAAAGACTCACCTTTGAGAAAACAATGCCATGCTGTTGTGGGCCAAGAGTGAGACCAGGCCATGTCTTCATCATCAGAGAAAGAGGAGGACATTGAGAAAACCCCAGATTCGGATTCACTGCTGGCCTGTAGTTCATAGTCACATGTTTAATATATGAAGAGAGAATTGTAAGTTTTGAGATCAACAGGGTAAGTTACCCGAACACGCCTGCGCTCCCGAAGATGGCCTCTGGACGGGTTGGGTGCACTGCTAGCTAATGGGGGCCGAGCATAGGAATGTAAGCTATTACTGTTACCAAAAATATGGACAGGAGAAGATCTGTGAAATAAAGAATATAATAATAGTGAATGCATTCACCCACATAATATGTGATGAGATTATATCCTAATACATAAACTACAAAACACATTTGTTGTGAAATGCAGACCTTTTGTGTGGAGCATCCTTCAGTAAGGGGCTCTGGGGGCTAGTGGCGATGTTGGCGAGCTCAGCGAGCCAGTTTGTGTTAGGAGAACAGCTGAGCTCCTGATGAGACAGCCCAGGTGTGACCTGGAACAGGTTCGGAGACCTCTGGTCCTCCTCCACCTCCTGCAGCTCCGGCATGTCATCTACATATTCAAGCATTATTACAACCAAGCTTTCAATTTTACAGCAAATACATTCACAATGAACACAAAGAGAAATACCATATTCCATATGACACCCAGGAGAGGAAGGCAGGTCTTCCGTACATTTAAGTGGATCAAAGGATTCGTCCATTCTTCAAATCTTCTTTTACCTCTTTGTTTGTTTTATCTTCTGTACACTTTATTCCATTTCCACCATTTAAATTTGCTTCACTGGCTATTTTGAGGCAGAGAAGTAAAAAAGGAGATATATGAGAAATCGTTATAAATCATGTTTAACTGCTGTTGTGTCATAGGCCTGCGTGTGTTATTTACTTCAGCAGTGTTATTGTAGTGTTTGTAATGCATGTTATGCAGCCTGGTTGTTGCAGGGCACCTGTGTCATTGACTCAACGTGAACGAGAGCAGTCTTTGGGGAGTCCTTTGTCTGTGAATCGACTTGCTGCTAAACCTCTATGACTGGTCATGTGACTCGCTGCGTGGAGGCCTTGTTTATAAACTTATTGGATTTGACGCATGCGCAGCAAAGCTCATTCATTCACTACTGCGTAACATAAGAGATAGATGGCTGTTTTTGTTCCCCAAAAAGTGCTCTAGTGACTCCTGTGAACACAGGCAATCCGCATATTAACAGGGCACGCGAATATGTTTAATGTGAAGAACAGACTGTGGTTTGTCGATTAAAAAAATTACACCATAAAAAATATGTTTAAAGATACGGAAACAAAAACGAAATAACGCTACTGCCTTTTCGATCAAACGCTTGATTTTCGTTTTGAATGTAGCTATGCGCTCATTGTGACACTGCATTGTCCTATAGGTTATTACACGGTAGTAAATGGTAACAATGCATAAAGACGCCATTTGGTGTCGAAACCTGATGGTTTTCTCTCCACCAAAGCAGTTCGGAGTCCTAAACGCAAACCCAAAGGCTGTGGGATCTAACACTGTAAACAAAAGAATGTCAACAAGTTGAGGCATGACGCAACCTCGCTGTCCCGTTCAAAATGAATGACAAGAAAATATATACGCGTCGCAAAGGCCTTTTCTATTGAAATCATGCTTTTTTGATTGATTTAAAAACGTCTCAAGTCCAGTCAAACTGTTGTCGAAGAGGATTGTTATCATCAAAACATCGTCTCGTAGGAAAAAAAAAACACAGTCGAGCTCTATCTGCAATTTGACACCAAATAAGTGCGTGACAACGCCATAAAAACACACAACCTCAAGCGTAAATACATAGACTACACGATTGACGAGCTAAATTTTACTTTTAACTTTGTATTTTCTCGAAAAAAGTAGACAACTTCCCACTTACCAGATCTGTCGCCATCAAGAAACTCTCTGGCATTCACTCGAGGGGAGGGACTGAGTGTTTTTACAGACGGCCTCCTATTGGTGGACCGCAAAATCAATAACACAAATAAAATCATCCTATTGGTCAGTCGCCTTGGGAAAAACAAAGCGGGCGGGGCTTGGTTTGTTGATCACTGTGTCATTGGATGGCAGTGCATGCCTGTTACCAGCCAGAAACAGCTGATTGGAACAACAGGAACAATGAAGGCTTATTTTTTTTTTATCTTTTTATCTGCAAATCCTGCAACTACTGCGCGAAAATCGCCTTTATCTCCTATATGTCCATGCTCTATTTCAGTACAACCTGGTGACAACTTTTCATTCTTTTTTTTTTTTTACATATTAACTTATGTCTGAAGGGACTTGATAGCCAATGAATGAATGAATGAACTATGCAGATACTATGCAGAAAGAAAACAAATAAAGTGACTAAAAAAGATCTTTAATGACATGAAAAGTGAAACATACAGTTTGTTTAGCCATTAAGATGGGTATACTTTCAAAAAGCCAGCACACTTTGCACAAAAATAAATAAAATAGGCCTATGTATAAATAAATGACAGGGCTTTGATTATCCAGTTACTCAGTTTGAAATAAAAATGGGGTGAATGATTATCCAGTTTGCTCTTGTTAACTGGGAACATTATTTTCCTATCCATATTTAATGGAAGTAGAGGTAGCAGTAATTGATAATCATTGTATGTTTCACAAACACAAAAAGCATGTCTTAAGTTTACAGTAAAACACAGAAAATATAGTTCAAGTAACGCTGCTCATTATGACTAGTCTATTAGGCAATATCAAATGAAAGATGGGCCAAGAAGAACAGTAAATAAGCTACTCAATTTAAAATGCACACATATGTTTGTATGATCTTACAAATTTGTCAGCTAAAGGTCTGTATTTTTTTCTGAAAAAGCATAGTATTAGGCTAACAGCCACAAACACCAACCAACCAACAGTGATTTACAGTTCATGAATAATACTTAAGAGATTCAGTCTTTAAAAAAAGAAAAAAAAATAGTGAAAGTAGCCATATGTGCACAAACATGGAAGTTTTCTAATTAAATGTGCACCGTACACTGCAGGTGTCAGTGCTCCCCAAAGAACACAAAGAGAAAGTGTCACATTTGCTCACACAATAGTGATAAGAAATTAGCTTTGGCATCTGATTTGAATACATGTTTGGAAATTTACAACGTTTTAAATGCTGTGTGTCAGTGGGGGAAGAGGGCGGGATATAAACAAATAATACGGCTAATACTGTCAACAAATGCACATTAACACACTTTTAGGTGAGACTTTGTGAGAAATCTAATTCACTCTTTGAGCACCTCGGCTTTGGCTTAACACTGTGGCAAATGCTGTTCAAATTTAGATTTCAGATTTAAAGTTACATACAGTGCTTCATAGATCGCATGTCATACTAAATATTCACATTTCTTGTTAGAAAAGCTCTTAAAGTAGTTCCACAGAAGCCTTTTTTCCCATGATGCATTGTCCATTAAAGAAACCTCATGCACTTTGTTCGATGTCAGTGCTACTTCCAAACAGTGCCACCAGCTGCTCCTCGTAGTTTTGTATGTTCCTCTTCATGATGTCCATGCACGGGCCCAGCAACCGCTCAAATGCCTTAACATCCATCACTGAAAAGCAACATTTAAAGAGAACTGTCACGCATTTTACAGGGAACATGGAAATCATACAGAGTTTACATTCAGTGCTGTTCAAAAGTTTGATATGTGTGCCAACCATGGACTGTATAAAGGAGTGGAGTGTGGCGTCACCCACAGCGTTTGGCTCCAGTCAAATGAAGTTTGCAATTATAGGAGCGAATTTGGAGCTTCATTATAATATTTTATATTAGGAATAGAATTTATTTACAGTCAAAATAGAACAATAAAAACACTAGGATCATGTAGAGCAGTTTAAGACAAACAATTTAAGACCAAAATGATAGTACTAGAGTTGATGGAGCCTGTAGAGCCCCCATGCTCATTTCCTATTTAAAATGCAACGGCTAGCAGGTCAGCTATGTCCATTTATATATACCATTTATTAAAATTAAAATGGATTATTATTATGTTGTGTACTTCGGCAAAACACCTCAAGTGCTTCTGAATGACACTTGTGATCCTGTATATCTATTCAGGTATAATTGTGCACAACTGGATATACTTGAAAATTTTGACCTTTTTTTTTCTTACATTGAGTTACGTCATCTATTTCATTGACAATCTGGACTGTGGAATTTGTGATATTAAAATTTATTACAATTTATTACATTCATATACATGGAAAGGCACCAAATCGGCCTTTTTGATTTTTTTGTTGTTGAATATTTTTAGGCACTGAAAATTGTCTCCACCAATAATAATATTTTTTTTTAAAAAGCTTTAAAAATGTATGATAACATGAGAAGGGCCTTGGTATTTTTTTTAGCCTTGTCAGCTTGTGCCACTTTTGAGTTCTGTTTTTGCAATGTTTGACACTTCTCCATTTTTTTCAGGGAGAATAACATAAAATGTAATCTTTTTGTATGTATCTTGACTGGTATTGCACAATAAGTGAACCCATCTATTTTGCATTTATTTATTTATTCATTTACAGGAGTTTTAATGCTCAAAAATACAGACATTCTTAGTATGAGTGGACATGCCTCTTCACAGATCTGACCTGTATCTTACGCTGATGCCTTCACCTGCTTGTCCTGAAGTAGATCAGTTTAATGCCATATGGTGGAATATATTAGGGAAAGTAATTACATCTCCATGGAGACAAGGAGGAAGCGGACCCGTCACATGAATGGGCAAAGATTTTTCTACCGTTCAATATTAACGATTATAAAGATTAATACAGTAACATAGGTGTGTTTATTTTTAACGGGGCCATGTTAATCTATTTTCTGATTTATATTACAATGTTGTTTCCCCATCAGAACCATCCCCAGGGTTTGTTTCATACACAATTGTTCCACCTTGTAATGTCATATGGCAATACAGGAAGTGCTCCACTCACTTTTTAAACTCCATACACTTTCACTAGAATGATTTGGATGATTTCAATCCTGGAATTGCCAGTCTCTACTGAATAAAAGATAAAAGGCTGTTATCTTGAAAACTATAGCTTAATGATATCACAAGATGGAACAGAGCATTTTGAGCTTTGGAGATGTAGACAGACTGATAATAAAGGGTTACCCAGACGTGTGAATAAAACAAAACTCACAAGAGTCAATTTTCAGTCTATGTTAAAACTTACCTAGACATTTGACATTTCCCACTGCATATGCTGAGGCCGCTCGAGGTTTGTTTGTGACCAGCGCTAACTCTCCAAAGTACTGCCCCCTGGTGCATGTAGCGATCTCCACCTCCTCCTCCTCCTGCTCCTTTTTTGTCTATGCAGAAAGAAACCAAGCATTCACAAAAACAGGCACACTGCACATCGTTAACAATGGGAAGTATACACAAAAGAACATACCCGGCTTCTCTTCATTGTGATTCTAACTTGGCCAGACTCCACAATGTAGAAACAATCGGCTAAATCACCCTGGAATAAGGTACAATACAGTACACTAATTAGCAATATAGTAATAAACATGTTAAAAAAAATGAAGATGAAATATGAAATTCTACCTGAGCAATTATCTGCTGTGTGTCATTATAGACTCTTGTGGAAAGAACATCTACAACCTTCATCCTCTCTGACAGCTGTGGTTAAAAAAGAAAAAAGTGTAGTTAGAAGCTGCTGAAAATATGATGAAAAGATTTAAATGTAATCGCTAACCTCCAAAGATGTGAGCAGGGGTAGTGTTTCAATAAAGGCTTCATACATCTTCCTTTTCTTTGCATTATTTTTTACTATTATCCTCCTGAATGTGAGACGATCCTAACAGACACACAAATAGAAAGAGTTTATACTGTGACTGAAAACCATGCCACTCCAAATAATCCTGTATTAAGGCTGGGTAATTTGACCAAAAAAATCTATTTTTAAATCCTATATTATTTTCTCATTAAAATTAGTCTAATTGCACAGCCTTACTTAATACATTTGATTTTGTCGTATATTATGAGAATATATAAAGGTTTAAACAAAACTTCACATAAAGACAATGTCAGTGGTTTAGTTAAACAAAATTTGATTATTATTGTAAAATTCATCACTCACATACATGTATTGTAGAAAACTTTTTGTAAACTTTTGCCACTTGATAACACAAAGAAGTTAAAGACTTCTCATTGTGGAAAAAAACTTTTCAGCAATTTTCAAGTGGAATCTGTTCTGTACCACAATGCCTAGTCTCAAGGGTGCCCCCTATCTGCACTACAAGATTCTTCGTATAAACAAACTTGTGCGTAGCCTTTAGTAACTTAAAGGTTACGCTCTTGTAAGTTTACTCATTAATTTGACTAATGATATAATGGAGTTAGACACTGAGTGGTGCTTTACCCTGCTCATCTGTCATTAGTGTAGGATGTAGTTTTGATGGGTAAGATCAGCTACTTCTGAATTTGGCATCACTGTTTCCAGAACAACTGGAAGTTTAATGTCTATATTGTGTCTCTAACATAATTTGAGATTTCAGGTGCTTTGGGGCTACAGCTTCACAGCTTGATCTGAAGTGTACGACTTTACCTTGTGAACTGAAATAAATCCAGTATTGTACATTCATAATATTGGGTATTATAAGAGTGAGCGATTTCCACATAGTTCATGGCCTATGCCCCAATGCCCCACTAGCGTGTAGCCAGTCCCCTGACAGTCCTGCTGAGCTGTCTGTGAAGGGCTGGTGTACTCACCAAGCACCACAGCGCTCCAGGGCAGGTGGCCACGATGGTGGCTGCTCTGGGAGTGTTGTACATCAGTGCCAGTTCACCAAAGCTGCCCCTGTTGTCATAGGAGCCAACCAGCTTCTCTGCACCATCCACTTTCACAAAAATGTTAAACATACCACTGCATACAAAGAAGAAATTGATTAATTTATGACATTAATTAAAGCCTGACAAAGGGTAGATAATGAATTACCTTTGAATTACATAAAAATTATCTCCATCGTCATCTTGATCTATGATGTGTTCTCCCTCTGTGCAAAGTTTCTCAAACATGGCGTCAAGAACCTGAGACATCTCCTCCTGCAGACAGACAGAAGAGAAAAGAAATAAAGGAAAATACTAATATTTCACAGCACTACACAAAGTTCCATATTCATTTATGGTCATTACCCAGTGGTGTCCAGAATAAATAAATTATTTATTTTAAAGGTGCAGTAACTTTTCTGGTGGGGGTCCACCAGCACTTTGTTTCTATGGAGATATTATTGTTTTTGTCTGTAATATTCCATAGTATGGAGTTAAACTGGTAAAAAAAATACCTTGCATTTATTCAATTAAAGGTGTTTCTACAGCTTAAAAATACAGTAGCTGGAAAGGTCTTTCCAGCATTCTTACTGTGATTGTGGTCAGCTCCTCACAGATCTGATCTGAACCTTTTTGCTGTGAGGTGAGAGTGCTAGTCACTTGGCCATGTGCCACATGGTGCAGGAATGTTCCACGTACCTGTTCCAGATTCTTGAATAGAAGAATGTCCCTACACGCTTCCTGTAGCCTCTGTCTCTGCTCGTCTGTTTTTGGATGTGTGACCTGTAAGGCAGACCACACATGTAATTACAGTTTGAGCTGTAAACAAAAGCACAAAACAAAAAACAAAAGTACAATAAAACTCACCCTTGGCTCTCGGTCCTCATCATCTTCATCTGGATTGAACGCTTCAGCACACACTGAAAAGCAAAGACAGTTATTGGAACAAGAGGTAACACAAGTTCAAGTAGAAAGGATTGCATTATTTCATTAGATGATGTACATTCCCACAACAGTTTGCAGGACTGACACAAAGATATACACTGCACCGCACAACCATGAGCAACTATTCATTCTCTAAAGAAACTTAAAGTGACTGTCTTCTCTAGCACATCTGTGACAGAGGGGAGACAACTAATGACCACCCACACAGTAAAGGCATAAAATGCAGAAAATTCTGAACCAAACCAAAACCTCAATCACCACAGATGACATAGGGCAGATAGGAAATCTGTGCATATTGACTGTATTGAGTTAGTGTCCTTAATGTTTGTATTTCCTGTGTTTGACAGAGTCCAGACTGGTTTCTTGATAGATGGTGCTTTTAACAGACAAAGTGTGTTCTCACCTGAAGCTCTTCTGATGTATCTGTTGATCACTGGAGCTGGAACATAAAATACAGCATTAACATGTCAGAGCAGACCACGAGAGACATCTCTCTAAAAAGCTCACTGTCTAATTTGGTTCTGACCTCAATCTCCCTCTCAGAGCAATTAGGCCTACTGCAGATCTCTTTTTCAAACAAGAATTTTGCTCTGATGGGCACATGCATTTAACAGATTTGCTTTAGATTTGTATAACTAAGTGGCCTCTTTATTTACACCTTACTGCAAACTTTAAAAAAAATCATTAATCACTGCATGATTGTTAGTTGTTTAATAATGGCATTAGGCCTATAATTTGTGTAATAGTGTATTTTGTCCTTGTCTTTATGTAAGCATATCCTCAAGCCCTCACTCTTTGGGATGCTGTGTCAGAGCTCCGGTTGCTAAGCTACATGCTGCACCTTGTGGTACTTTTGTCCAAAACGACCCTTGTTACAGAGTTTGACCCCAAATCCTGAGGATAAACGCTTTATTTTAACATCTGCGCATCCCTCTGGAGCTGTCCTCCTCCACTGATTTCTGTATGAGAGCTGTGCTTCATATGAGGCTGTGGGCCCACCAGGCCTCACCTGAAGATGTTTATTCAAATGACCTACGTTTCTCTGTTTTCTCTGGCAAAGTGCTGCCGCTGACAGAGGCCTGTCCTTCCCTCACAACATGTACCCCTCGTGAATGCGGAGCAGGACACGTTCATAATCGCGGATGCTCCGTGACCATATAAGGCAAATGACAGCGCCGTGTGGATGCAAGATGCTGCGGGCTGAGCATCACTGCTCACGGCGTAGGCTCTATCACGCGCATATGCATTTACATGTGTCTCACCATTCATCATTACTGTCCTTATATAGCCATATGCCACATGCGTAAAACATCACATCAATAGCGCACCTATGAATTCCTCGTCATCTTCGTCGTCCTCCTCTCCATTTTCAGAATCAATCTGCATCGCTTCGTCAATGAAATTGACAGCTTTTCCTGGTCTTGGGGCCGAATTTTGGTCATTGCCAAACGAGGCCTCTTTGGTCTCTCTGTCCTTCAGCTGTGTGAAGTATTGTAGCGCGAACTCGAGCAAATCCCTGGGCTGGTTCCTCAACACTTCCACGGTAAAGCTCTGTAACAGCTCCGTCAGTCCTTCAGGGATTTCTATACTCATTCCTGGTCCCAGTCTATCAATGTGGACAAAAGCGGTTTATGCAGATTCCAAGAAGCGGGCTGTAGGCTGTCAGGTGCAGATGGAGGTGCAGTCGGGCCACACAGCCAATCCTCGCGTTTTCTTCAATGAAAATGGCTGTGGATTTTTGGTCCAAGCATCTTCTGCTGCTTCTGGCTACAGGAAACCCACGCATGTGACCCAGGAATCCATGGCAACCACCTATCCAGGGATTGCGTATGAGCAGCGAGGCGCACGGGCTGCAGCCACTACAGATGATGGCAGAGAAGGAAAGCGCGTTTTTGTCAAAAGCAACACGTCGCGTGAGAGGTGACAGCCGACGAGCTGTGGCTTAAAATGTCTGCCTCAGTATACTCTTTGTAGCGGCGAATCAGCCTCGCCTACCATGAGTTTAACGACATGCACTGAAATGTACCTACTCCATCTGTACGACAACGTGCAGGCCACTCAAAATAATTGGATCATTGGAAAGAGGGACAGGGCAGTTTTTGTTGTTTTTTGTTTTGTTTTTTTTGTTTTTTTTAGACTTGTCAGACTGACAAAACAGAAATCGTATGATTTCTGTTCTATCACAGGCAAATGTCTGTTATTAAATTAAATATCCTATTTGTATATCTAGTAGTACACATCTCCATCCTAGTTTTTGGTGTAATATAAAAACGGTTTGGAGCACGGGTGTCTCCAAAGCAATAGTACATCCATGGAGACAAGCAGGTGGCTGACGTTCCACCAGAAAAGTTCAGCTTTATAGTGCAGTGTTTTCTGATAAAATCAGAAAAAGTAAAATTATAGGCCTAAGAAAGACAGGACTCACCTATGCAGTTGGCAGTAGGCCAACCATAAAATTACTTTTATCTTTAGGGTGAGTTATTTCTATTGCTGCCACTTGCCAGCATCTGTCCTTTATTTTGTAGGATCAAACACTTGTGCATTTGGCAAACGATAGGATAGGGCAAAGGCAATACCCCACATTTCCATTATAGGCAATGAAGAACAGTGTAGGCAACAATGTGAAGCAACAATCATCTGGGCTGTAAAGACAATCTCCCTGGGAACCCTTAAGGATGAGGTCAGTGGCCCCTTCCCCCCATATTAAAAAGCCACCACATTAGACAGCAGAAGGACTGAGTCTCGCCTTATAACCACTTATGTACACTGTCATTCTAACCAATGAATGGAGTGATAAACCAGTGTCTAGTCCTGCTCCCTCAAGCATAGATCCCCCAAGATACTCCCTTATGCCCAGTGCTCATCAACACCCAATGAAGCATGCTGCTGCTGTCATTTCAGTTTAAGTGCAAAGTAGTCCAGAGAAAACATAGGACTGTCTCAGATGAATGGAGTAAAATACCAAGCCTAAGTTAAAATACAATAATGCAAATATAGCCAGATAATAGCAAATAATAATGTGTCAGTCTTATAGCACTTTTCCATCCCATTTGCCACTCGCAGCACTTAAACATTGCTCCTAACCTGAGCATGTCTTGGCAGCTGTCAAAAGAAAATGTTGCCACTAACGTAATATTTGATGTTAATATTAAATTGGGAGACAGTGCCATCTACTGGAAGAAAGCAGTGTACCTTTTCCATGTGTCAGTTTTTCATTTTATTTTGAAACTAATATATTGCAAATAAAACATTATCAGCATAATAGCCATCATTTTGAATCTTCTACATCATGATTTATTAAAGAGCCTACATTATTGTATTATCTGATCTGTGTTACATTTCCTTTTCATAAACATACCTGGAGTTATCTGTTACCTATTGTTGTTTTATTCATATATTTAAAACACAAATCCTGTATATTTAGGCTGCATTCTTCTCTCAAAACTGAAAACACTGTTCTGCCTTGTGATGTCATGTGGTAATACAGGAAATGTCCTTCACTAGAATCATTTGCATAATTTCAGCCCCGAAACTGCCAAGTGGAGCAGAGCATTTTGAGCTTTGGAGATGTAGACAGACTAATATAGGTTTACGTAAACATGTGACAAACAAAACTCCAGGTATGTTTTTGAGAAGGACACAACAGTAAAGATTCATTTTGTGCAATACAGGACCTTTAAATACTGACTATATAGATTGGTATTGAGAGGACAATTTGTGTTACCCATGTAGTATGTATGTGTTAAACATGTCCACTGAAATGAAAATCAAATATTTTCATCCTTTTACAGGAAATATTTATTTTTTCCAAGAGACACAATCGCTCCTTCCATAACAGGACAGTTAAATATTAACAAATTTACAGTCATGAGGAATGTAATAAAAAAAAAACAACAACAAATTGTGGCATAAAAAACCCTAACCCCCCACCCAGATGATGTCGACCATGGGTCACCGAAACAGTCGCTCCGCTGGTACATGCTCAGACATTTAGTGCTTCACAGTTCTTCTTTAATATTTTGTGGCTGGACAAAAAAAATAAAAAAATAAAAATGTGAAAGAACTCTAAAATAATTTTACATGTACACTTAACACTATATTATAACATTAAGAGTTCATACCGATTCTTCATCATCATCATCATCATCATCTTCAGCATCTATATTTTCCTCTTTATCTTCAGAGTCTTCCTCAGCAGGCTCCTCCTCCTCTGGCTCTTCTTCAATCTGGAATACATAATAAAAATATAACTCTTCCAACATAGCTCCATGAATAGTTGTGATTAAAGTCACTACTATTAAAAAAAACTTGCCTGTTCTTCCAAAGGTACATTCATACTCAGTCGTAGCATGCGCTCTATTCTGTCCCCATAAGCTTTTGTGTCAGCGAGCTGGTAACCTGAACGCAGTGTCGCTGTCTCAAACAGGACAACAGCCAGATCTGATGCCGTCTGGTCCTCTGCATCATCCTGAATAAAGAGATTCATGTCAATCAAAATGTTTAAATTGTCAGTTTACTTTATATTTGGTTTTAGACACTTACATTGACACGCTTGAGCATCTGCTTGATAAGAGGATGTTTAGGGTTTATTTCTAATGTTTTCTTCTGGCTGGCATAATAGCTAGGGGAAAAAAAAAAAGTTCAGCTGAAATCATTCCATGACATTTTGTATTTAAATGTACCCTTTACATGAGATAATAAACTCACTTTGTAGAGATATCCTTTCCTGTCTGGTAAGCCTGGGCCTTCATGATCCTCTCCATGTTTCCAGACCAGCCGTACTGACTGGCAACAAGAGCACAGGGCGAGTCGGTCAGCCGCTGAGAGAGGACAGCCTTCTCAATCTAAGGGGAGAAATATGGGTGAGTTTGCAAATAAACCATACATGTGGACGTTTGGGAAATCAAGTTGGTGTACCTTATCCTTGAGAGCCTTGTCCTTGAGCCAGGTGGTGAGGGGCTCATATTCCTTCTCCATGGCTTCCCTCTTCTCTTTGGTTTTCTCACTCTCATCAAACTTCACACCCTCTTTGGCAACATTCTGGAAACGTTTTCCATCAAACTCTGGAAGAGCCTGGATGCAGTACTCATCCACAGGCTCTGTCAGGTAGATCACTTCATAGCCTTTCTTCAGCAGCCTCTCCACAAAAGGTGAAGACTCAGCCTGAAGGCACAATTAAGGATGAGTTCCTCCACCCAAAAACATGTGGTTGCTAATAACTCCTTGTGATGTAGTGCTGAGTTCTTACCTCCTTCCTGCTGGTACCAGCCATAAAGTAGATCTTGTCTTGCTTCTCCTTCATGCGCTCCACATACTGCTCCAGACTAGATTGCGTGGTCTCACTGTGGGAGGTCTGGAATCGTAGCAGCTTGGCCAGTCGTGTTCTGTTTGAATGGTCCTCAATCACACCCAGCTTGATGTTTGTGCCAAACTCCTTCCAGAACTTCTCATTGTACTGTTCCTCTGCAATCTTCTTAATCATATCAAGAGTCTTGCGTACAAGTTTTTTGCGAATAACCTGAGAAATACCAAAATGAACCAAAGACCGTTAGTTTTATAAGCATACATGATAATATGTGGGCCATGTACGCAAGTTAGTGATATACAGTGCTCACCTTAAGCAGTTTGTGTTGCTGCAGAGTTTCTCTGGAAACGTTCAGTGGAAGGTCATCAGAGTCAACCTAAACAAAAAGATTTAAGTTAAGAACTCCACGGTAACGCCAACTAAAAACTGTATCAAAAGCCATTAAAGCACAACTTACAACTCCCTTGACAAAGTTCAAGTACTTGGGCATCATGTCATTGAAGTCATCTGTGATGAAAACTCTTCTGACAAACAGCTGTTTAAAATGAAGCCTGTATTAGTTTGTTTATAATGATGCTAATGCTTCAAAAAATAAAAATAAAAAATGAAAGGGAAAATACCTTGATATAATCATTCTTCTTTGATCCATATTCATCAAACAGGCCCCGAGGAGCTGCAGCAGGAACAAACAGGATGGACTTGAATGTGACTTCTCCCTCAGCAGTGAAGTGGATGTGGGCCAGAGGATCATCACTGTCCTGTGACACAAAGGTTTCATTTCATTTACACTAAATGTATTAGTAGCATTCATGTACATGCATGTCAGCACAGTCTCTGACTTACCTTAGAGAAGGTTTTGTAAAAAGCCTTGTACTCATCTTCCTCGACCTCTTTAGCTGGTCTCTGCCAGATGGGCTTGATGTCATTCATAAGTTCCCAGTCCCACACAGTTTTCTCCACCTAGAATTAAAACATGTTTATGAAGAGCCCATTAAATTTAGCATAAGTCTTCATCTTCATTTAAAATGAAAGGCAATGAGTAACCTTCTTGGTCTTTGGCTTGTCCTTGTCCTCTTCTTCCTCCTCCACCTCAGCCTCATCTTCTGTAGTTTCCTTCTCTGGTTCTTCAGTTTCAGCATCTTCATCAATGGGCTCTTCAACAGTTTCTGTCTGTGATCAAATAGGAATAGATCAATATTAAAAATGCACTACAGCTACTGTTAATGTAAAAGTTAGTCAGGTTCTAAGATCAAATGAACAAAAGTAAACTCAAAAAACAATGAATTCAATGAATTACCTTGCTGGCCCAAACATAGATGGGGAAGTTGATGAATTGAGAGTACTTCTTAACAAGGTTCTTAATGGTCTCCAGCTCAAGGTAGTCTGAGGCCTCCTCTTTCAGGACCAGTCTGTAACAAATGAATGACAAATTTAGAGTCAACCTTACAACGTTTGGTGTACCACAGGTCACTGTTTGGATAAAACTTCAAAGTGAACTTACGAGATGGTTGTTCCTCTGCCCAGAGTATCTCCACGAGGGTCCTCAATGACTGAGAACTGGTTTGAATCAGACTCCCAGATGTGTTGGGTGCCGTTGTTGTGCTTTGATGTAACAATCACTTTGTCTGCCACAAGGAAAGCAGAGTAGAAACCAACTCCGAACTGTCCAATCAGCTCTGAGGTAGACTGGCCTTCAGTCTGCATTTCAGTCATTTTGTTGAGGAACTCGCTTGTGCCAGACTTCGCAATTGTGCCCAGGTTCCTGACCAGTTCATCTTTGGTCATTCCTATACCAGTGTCTGTGATATGGAGCATGTTCTTCTCTTTATCAGACTAACAAAGAGTAAAATATTTGGAATTAACAAGTGGCCAACAGAATTTACACTTTTAACCAACCAACATATTGATGAACATACTTTTATTTTGATTGTCAGTTCTTCGTTAGCAGCAAGTGCGTCTTCATTGGTCAAGGACAGCAAGCGAATCTTATCCAAAGCATCTGAGGCATTGGAAATCAATTCCCTGAGGAAGATCTGAGAAGACAAAAACAACATGTTGACAACAGAGGTAAATGCATTTTCAAAGACTAGTTTATGGAGGTTTTACTCACCTCTTTGTTCTTGTATAGGGAGTTAATGATCAGCTTCATCATACGGTTGACCTCAGCTTGGAAGGCATGTTTTTCTGATTTTTCTCTGAGTTCTTTGATTTGAGCAGCATTTAAGCCATCCAGCTGAATCGCCTCTTCTTCCCTGGAGATTGAAAAGTTCTGTTTAGTTCAAAAAAGGCTATTTACACTGTTCTGCAAACAAAGTTATAAGCTGCAGTCAAACAAGTACATGCATAGCAGTGAGCATGACCTTGGCTTGAATTATTAACGCTAGTCTTTGATAAGTAATTGACACTTTATAAAAAGGCTCCCACCTCTGCACCACTTCATCGTCTGTCCTGGAACCGTCTCTACTTTTGCCCAGATCTTCCTCTACTGTCCCATCCACGTCCACTTCATCCTCTGCCCTGACAGCAGCTACAACACAACAGGCCATCATTGAAATATTTCACAATAATCAGGAGTGAGAAAAACTACAGCAGGTTAAAAAGGAAGAGACTCTAAAATTTGCACAAATCATTTTTTTTTCTTGTTGAAAGAGCAACAATGCGATCAGTAGAATTATCTCACAGTATAAAATTAGACTATCATGCAAATGGCTTCATTCAAAATGTACGCTGAAAAAGAAACTTCTCGAAATGAATGACCACACTTAAGACTTCTCAGACATTCTATACAATAAAACGAAATGCATTTCTCTATGTTATAAGAAATAAAAGGCATCGAAAATCTGTATCCAAGTTGTAAAGTTATGCCTGTAAAGTTATGAATGAATGGGCTGAATTTTAACAGAAAGCATGTAGCCCCAAGGCTAATGTTAGCTGAAACGTGATGCACTAAAAAGGAGCGTAGAAAGCAAGTTTCTCTGCTACTCACCAAAAGCTAAAAGTGCAACCACAAGCCCTATGAACCAAACACGTTTCATCTTGAGAAAGTGACTGGATGAAGGTATGTTTCTCGAGCTCTTGAAACAAAAGCCGGGCGAACAGTGCACACTGCACTGGCTTTAGATGAGAGACTGACAGGCTATCTCTGCTAACGAAGGAGCCACTCTGTTAAACTCCCGACCGCCGCCAATGGCAGCGCACCACGCACCACCCCGGACCAACCAGAGCGCGCACTACCGCACATGCGGCCCAATCACATTCTTCTACATAAGCCAGGGCCTGAAACTCGTGGACAGATACGATTGGCCCAAAAGAACACCAGCGCACCACTTCCTAAAATTTACCTCATCATTTGAAAATAAAATCTTGTGAAATCTTGTCTTGTGTACAAAAGCCATGGTTACATTGGCTCCATTATATGCTCTTTAGGTCAAATCACTTGGTAATTTGATGCAGATTTTGAAGCAGCCAACCCATATTCAGGTTTCAACCAAACTTTCTTTCTTCACGTGTCCATAAAATAACCCAGAGCTCTGACAATAGACAAGCCACTGATATGACTCGTCTACATCTGAATTTATTCTTGGTTTTCTTGATAACTGAATATACAGTCCATGTTTGCAGACCACTGTAGAAGATGAACTAGAAAAGGCTCATTGCAATACCGATTCTGTCCATACCATGGCGCTGTTGGTTAAGTTGGTGCGCAGTAAGAATCTATGGTTGATACATTCTTTTGATGTTAGGCATGTATTAGTGTTACTATGAACTATATGGGAAAACACGGGGACTTAAAATGTGCTATTTAAGTATACAAAGTGATAATGGATGCTTGTAAGATTACAGGACACAGATACAATAACACCTGTAAACTCTTGTAAAAGTCTGGGTGTGTCGCATTGTGCTGATTCAGTTTATCACTGTAATATTGTGCAGTTGTGGTTATCTTCATGGTATAGTTAATCCTGCCTTTGCCAGTCGGCAGGTAGATTATTCATGTTAGTGTTGATACCCTAACATTTTTTTTAAATATATTTTTTAGATTATAGTATAGCATTATAAAGATGGGACGTTTAGAATTAATGGCCTTTTAGTAGAGACCTTAAAGTTTTGGGATCAACATTTAGAGATGGAAAAACGGTTGCCTATTTATTAAATTGCAGTTTATTTTACCGTTGAAAATAGCTTTGAAAAAACATGTATTCTTATAGTGAGAGATTGTCTCTCCACAGTTCTTACCTGTAACTTGGTATTGTGTTACCGTGCTTGTTGCTTGTCTCCATGGAGATTGATAAAATAATACTTCCAAGCAAAACAATCCTGTTTCCGTGGACATAAGCAGATGGCTGACCCTCCACCATAAAGTAACATAGGGCACCGTTGTGGTTGAGTATTTAGTTATGTGTAGTTCTATCTTAAATTGATTTGTTGTCTATTATTATTATTATTATTATTATTATTATTATTATTATTATTATTATTATTATTATTATTATTATTATATATTTTTTTACCTTAATCCAAATAAAGTGTTCAATGAGTAAATGTCATAATTTAATGTATCCAGTAGCCAATCGGATTACTCGGGAGGACGTACGGCAGCAATCGCAGTCTCTCTTGATTCGCTGATTGGCTGGCTCGGTGCAAACCCGGAAGTGACGTTCAAAGCAACACTTCAGTTCCAAATGTATAAGCTTGTCAAACGCGTGCTATTATCGACAGGGGCCCACCACGACCTACACACTGAGCCATTTGGACAGACACGACTATGGCGCCCTTGGCAATGCCCCTGTCGTCAATCGTGAGGGCCCGGGACTTCCTGCGCAGGGCGAGTATTTTGTGTGGGATTATACAAGAGCAAAGCCAATGTTCTTGTTTATGGAAGCGGAATTACAGTTCAGTGTCCCGTGGAGACGATCAACGTCGTTCTCAGCAGCGTAGAGCAGTGAAACATGCAGCATCTGTCTGTAGCACCTCAGACAGTCAGGACATGGGACAGAGGCTGTGGGCGATCTATAACGATGCAAAAAGGCAGACTAAAGGTACCAAAACATAAGATCTTGTCATTTCATACATAAATGTTAGGCCTACATTTGAATTAACAGTGTCTCTCAACATTTTGCATTATTATTACCTGTTTATAATACCTTAAAGAGCCCAAGATCAGTCAAACTGATGGTAGGCTGTGGGTGCTATATGTTGCCAATTTGCTATAGAAATCTTTTAAAAATGGAAAGCTAGGGATGTACTTATGATTGTAAAAAGCTTAATCAATTCATAATACTACTTACTGCATTCTGATATAAATGTCTACATGGCAAGGAATATGAGTAAAAATTCAAAATAACTTTAGGAATGAATTATTAAAGTATTTCTTCTCTGAATTTGGAACGTGGGTGAGATCAAAGTATTTAAGTGCAGTGACCTTTGAACCTATGAATTTCAGCCAGACTGTTCCTTTGGTGTCCTGTGCATTAGTCACCAGCTATCTCATTCATCATTTAATTGCACTCAAACAGACAACACCTAAATCAAACTAATCAAACCAAACAAACTTTTTTCTATTTTCAGATCTGATACCGGACATTTCCCCCACAGATCCGGACACTATATTCGCCAACAATGAGATCAGCCTCCGGGACATAGAGATCTACGGTTTTGACTATGACTACACTCTGGCCTTTTACTCCAGACATTTGCACACCTTAATTTTTAACATAGCAAGAGATTTACTCATCACCCAACACAGAGTATGTGCACACCACATAGGAAGTACTGTACTTTGATCATGCAAGCATAATCTTAATGGGATAGTACTTTTTATAGTGTTATTGTTATTTAATTATTATTATGTCATTAAGATAATAATGTATTTGTTTCCATTGGAAATAGTCTTTGTAATCCCTCAGTTGTCCAGGCATGATTCATAGCAAAAGAAAATTTAAATTCTGTCAGCTGGACAAAAAGTTTTTGAGTGAACATGTTTCGCCGCTCATTCAAGCAAAATCTTCAGTTCTGACAGGTGGACACTGCCATATATCTGTCTGAAGGAAGGACCTAACTACACTGAAACTAAGACACCTATTTGTTTAGTTTCTGTTAGTGAGGTCTGTTAAACTACACTAATTTTGAACTGTGCCTGAGTCATATTTTGTTGTTTTGGTTCCTAATGACTGCTCCTGCATCTATTAGCATACTGGCTATTACTATTGTTTTCCTTGTTATGATTTAGATCTGAGGATCGAGTTTTAAATAGGAGATAAATTATGGCTAAACTCCCCATTTCTGTTCAAAGATGGATTGTCTTTCTTAACAAAAACGGCCTTTTTAACTCCCCTCTCAAACCATCTCAATGCTCAAACTTTTTATCCAGTTGACAGAATTAAATTGTTCTTTTGCTTCGTGCCTTTTGTTGTGTTTTTACACAAGGGTAAATATTATTAATATTACATTACATATTGTACTATTTTCTTCTTCTTTCCCTTTGTTATTAGTATCCTGAAGGACTGCGGGACTATGAATATATTCCTGATTTCGCTGTAAGAGGACTGCACTATGATGTTCAAAAGGTAATTCTGTTTTTTATTTTTAATATCTCTAAGCAACATTATTTTTATGCAAATTGTATTTTCAATATAACAGGCTCTTCTTATGAAAATAGATGCTTTCCACTACATACAATTGGGAACTGTGTACAGGTATGAAGGCACTGTAACTGTATTACTGCTCAACGAAGTGTATAAAAAGTGTATCAGTAAGAATGAATGCCTCTAGATTGAATTTCCCTATTTTTTTTTCAGAGGTCTTAATCCTGTGTCCGACCAGGAAGTAATTGCCATGTATGAAGGATGCCATGTGCCTCTGGACATTATGAGTGACTTCTATGGGAAGGTAATTGCTTGTACAAGACAAAATTTAAAACATACATTACAAATGTTGATTTAATAACCTAATATTTCAGAGCACCCATGGCCACACCATGAAGCAGTTTATGGACATATTTTCTCTCCCTGAGATGACGCTGTTGTCCTGTGTCAATGACTTTTTCATGAAGCACAATATTGACTATGAGCCAGTGCATCTGTACAAGGATGTCAAGGTGAATTTAGTTTCATGATTATGTTTCAGTCATTTTACTGCAGATTTTAGCTGTTTATTCTAAGTGTGCAGATACAGCTTGCACCATAGCAATTAAATGTACCCTCTTGATTAGATATGTATGTACTCTATGTACTGTGGTGGGCAGTGATAGTCCAACAAAGTCAGTCCGTCCAATCTTATTTTAGCTCCAAAAGCAAGTGTCTAATTTTAGTGTTGAAGCCCGCCTCCAGCCATCTGCGTCTCTTCTCTGCTCTGTTGCTTCACAGAGAGGGGCAGTGCTGTGTCCCTCTGAGGGCCTGTCTATTGTATCGGACACTGTAGAGTTTTGAAGGATAGCTGTCATTAAACACTTAGACACATACTGGGACCCACAGGCTCCGCTTATATCATTCCAAGGACACTGACAAGCTTGAGTTAACATCAATTATCAACGCTGTCTGTCAGTCTTAATCTGAATCCTTTCTGTTCATCACACAGATGTTTGAATACTAAATCTATGTTTTAAAATGCACTTCCCTAAAGTCTATTTACGAACTCAGGTCGCACATTGTGAAAATAGTGGTGAAAAGTTTGGCTTTAAATCACCTAAGTAACTAACTTCAGGGCCCGTTTTTCATTTTTCATTTGTATGCAGTCATGCACTCCTTTTGTGCTTTTAAAGGAACTGTTTATGTACAAAGTGTTGCTACTCTAGTAGAATACTAATGTTGAACTACTGAAGTCCTGACTGCATGACTTTGGGTTGTTTACGTTTCTCCTCACAGGAAGCTATCCGGGATGTTCACGTTAAGGGCATTATGTACAGAGCTGTAGAAGCAGATATTGGTAAGTAATTATCTTTATTATTATGATTTATTTAATATTATTTTTAATTAAAACCATAAATGCTCAATAATTGTTTAGTTTTGTTCATAAATCTGGATTCATTAACATTCTTTCTCCCATAGACAAATATATTTGCTATGGGGAGGAAAGCCACGCCGTGCTCAAGAAGCTGTCAGAGCATGGAAAAAAGATGTTCCTCATTACCAACAGCCCTTTTGACTTTGTGTAAGTGCAGGAAAACACACTGTTAGTGTTTGTTGGTTTCATTAATTAAAGGTGTCATGTGTGGATGCTCTAATATATCAGAGAGCTGCTACACTCAGTCCCATCTAATACAGAGGGCAAACATCCAAGCTTTTACATTTGTCACTGACTAGAAGCAGCTTGTTGAGAACGCTTGGTCGCACATTATGTACAAATACAAGGTTTCCTGGATACAAGAGACGGTTACACACATCTGATTTTTAATTAAGTTCTTGCATAAGACAAATACAGTTGACCGCACTCAGGTTTATTAAAATGCATATAACTTTCAGGAATCGAGGAATGAACTACATCGTGGGAAAGGACTGGAGAGATCTGTTTGATATTGTCATAGTGCAGGCTGACAAACCGAGCTTCTTCAATGACAGGAGAAAGTGAGTAGATGCTATGTGCCTGGTAGTTATCCACCTGAGGTCTCACACACATTTTTTATTCATGGGCAGCAACAAACAGCAGTGCATTTCTCACCTGTTAATCAGTTTGTTATACCTGCATGTTCAGATGTGATTTTTTTTTATATAAATATATATAGATTTCTGTTTGTCTTGAATAATGTATTTTGTTGCAGACCGTTCCGGCGGGTGACAGATAAAGGGGCACTGCTGTGGGATAGGATTCACAAGTTGGAAAAGGGACAAATTTACAAACAGGTAATGCCTCTTTTTGTATTGTTTCCTTAACTTATTATGTACAGGTGAACAGTTGGATATGCAGACTTCACACTTTTTTCCACAATTTTCTGTGTCAGCATTACATCCCATCTCAGTTGCTTTTAATGCACCACACAAAACTCTAGTCAAAACTTTTGACTGATATTTGCCATGTACAAAACATGGCTGGTTCTAATTCATTTTATATTGAGGTAATTACTTTCTGTAATATAGAAACCTGCAGTTTAGATGCTTTTTCATCTGTGATAGCTCTTTATTGATGGTTACCTTATTGGTCTGTTTATCTTGATGGCTCACTTCAATTATAAAGTAATAAATACAACCTTAATTTAATTCTTCGACACAACATTGCTGATGGAGCTCCCTCCCTGGGGCACAAACAACAACCTCACCTGAAATTGCAATTATGCAAGATCTTATCACTGTCAAAACAGTTAAAATAGACACAGCAATTACCTTATAGACCTGATGTGGGCATTAAGTAGTCAATATATCTTAATATCTTGAGCATAACATGGAAGACATTGAATGTGCATGACAGTACCACAAGTAGTGTACTGTTGTAGAGCATTAGTTGTAGTTTGGATCTATTATGAAACTAACTCATATATTTACATATTATTTTGGTCTTATATCATTATTATGTAGCCAGTGTTACCATCACCCTGTATTTGTAATACATTTTAGGTCAGTTGGGTATATGACCTCTAATAAAAAAAATACCACTTTTTGTTTTTCATCAGGGAAACCTTTATGAGTTCCTGCGGCTCACGGGCTGGAGAGGTTCCAAAGTACTCTACTTTGGTGATCACATTTACAGCGACTTAGCGGTAAGAAGCACTGCTCTTCATACATCACACAAAACCCAGAAGTATGAAAAAACGAAGCATTTAAAGATTTCATTTTAGATAGAGACACTTTCCCTAATCTTAACTCTGGCTATATATATCTTCTAAGCCCTCTTCAGTCTTAAGGTTAGGTACAGAGGAAGTCTTAAAGCGACGACGAAGATGATTAGAATCGGGTTGAAATTGTTTTTGTTCATTAAAAGTTATTTCACACCTACTCATGACTCCTCTGGTAGACTTTTAATTCATTAAAGCAAAATCAACGTTTTACCTTTTGAATTTATGTTTTTTTGGTTTTTTTTTTCATCACAGCAACCTGCCTAATTGTTTTTTTTGTTTTTGTTTTTTTTGTTTTTTTTATGCAAGTCTATCTGTTCTGAGCAAATAGATTTTTTCCACTGCACTAAACTCAGGAAGCATTTACTTGGTGTTAATAAAAGACCTGACATCTTAGGTTGAAAACGCAGCATTGGGCAACCAAGTGTAAAACCTTCCCCACTAATGTATTAGTGGCAAGCTTCGACAAGTTAAGCAGTGCATACAAGCAGACCCCTGTGTGAGAGGGAGTCATTACTGCAGCAGACACTAAATTAATTTGATGTGTTGTTTTGGATTTGAGCATTCATGAAGATGTTATTACTTTTCCTGGAATGTTCCACAGTATGGCATTAAACTTATCTTCTATTAATGAATGAATGAATGAATCTGTAATTTGGTGCGGTGCCCCTCTACAAGAATAGTTACAATGCAAAATCATTCATTTATTAATTATTTTATTAAATTAATGAATGGAGCATTTGTTAAAATAGCACATGGTGTATGGTTTTCTATGGTGAGTCATGTGTCCATTATTGTGCAGGATTTGACACTGAAGCACGGTTGGAGGACAGGTGCCATTATCCCTGAGCTGCGGAAAGAGATTAAAATTATGAACACAGAAGAGTTTGTGCACATGACGACCTGGTTACAGGCTCTCACCGGCCTCATAGAGCAGATGCAGGTCTGTGAAAGAGTATCAAAATGTCATGATTTGTCATTGACATGTTTTTTCTGATATGTTTGTTTATTTGCACTCCTGAACAGGTACACCGTGATCCAGTATCTCAAGCAGTTGTTCAGGAGTGGATCAAAGAGAGGGAAGCCATGAGGTGAGGACATGTTTGAATTACTACAATTGCTACAAAGAACAAGATACAAAACAGTTATGGAGAATGAATATAAAATCTGATCTCTCAGCAAACCTGTTGCTGTTGCTTTTCTTTGAAAACTTTTTTTTCCATTGGCCTTGTACATATAAAGCCAAGACTCTACAGGTGAATAGAAAAATACACATACATTTAGATCAGTTTGTAATGTCTAGTTTTACACTATTACACTTCTATAGATTACTTACATAATGTAGGGAGAAAAAAAATCATTGTGTTTTTTACATATATAAATTTTGCATATTTGGGATATATAAATCTGAAATAACAGACTGAGCCGGATTTAAATTTCTTACTTTATTTTGGAGACATTTTGATCATAACAAAAATACAAATGGGTTTTTGGATATTATTATTTTATCAACTACATCTTGGCATAAAAAAATCAAGTTTTGCCTCATTTTTGGGGGTTAAAACTAAATAAATCTGTTTTATAATTAGCTATCAACAAATTCTTCTGTAAGACAAGTCAAAACAATCACTTTTGTGTTTTGATAGGCCACAGACAAAGGACATCTTCAACGCTCAGTTTGGGAGCCTGTTTCGGACATACCACAACCCCACCTACTTCTCCCGCCGCCTGTCCCGTTTTGCTGATATGTACATGGCGTCCATCAGCTGCCTCCTCAATTACGACTTCAAACACACGTTCTTCCCTCGTCGTACCCCTCTGCAGCACGAGTCCACCTTCTGGCCTCAGCAACGGTCCATCAACAATACTGCCGACAGCCAAGTCCAGCAAAATTAAAGGTTCAACTTGACTCTCAGCTTTTAGATCAGTTATACAAACGCTAGCAATCTTTTTATTGGAATGTAATTTAGTAAAATAGCTTTAACTGTATGCAACAATATGTCTGAAAATGCCACTTTAACAAAGTATTTGCACATGTCATTTTATGGCACTGCCACTAGAGGGCGATCACTCAGTACTTGCAGTAGTAATATTTTAACAGTGGTGAGTCCTTCTTTTTGTGCATCTGTCAGATTGTAAATGAGGGGGTGTTACATTTCAACTGTCATTTGCCTTAACTCAGAAGATATTTCACACTAGCCTCTTTGTTTTTATCGCAAGCTTTAAAATATACCATTTTACATTCAGATTGATGGAAGATGTGCACAAAACAGATGCAATGTGTTGTATGAGTGAGGAGGTGAGACCTGAGTGTTGCTGGTATTTTTAGCAATAGTTTATTTGATCTGTGAAGTCGTTGATGACTGGTACTGTTTTCACAGGTTTGCTGCTTTTATTTTTGCAGAAAATTTGTGAAATGTTTTCACATTTCTGAAATGAAAGGATATATTTAGAAGTAGGATAATTCATGTTTTAAATTATTCTGAACAGGGACTGACTTTCTGTGATGTTTATTTGGTATTTGGTTAGTGCATTTTTATTCACTATTTATTAAAAGTCTCTATGTTACTGATTTAACTTCCTTCTTTTCACAAGCATGAGAATGAACATTCTTGGAACAATAAAACTACTCTGCAGGGTATATAAAGGGATCATTATTAATGTAATATACTTTTGTAGCCACAGCTGCCCTGGAAGGGCAGACACTACACACTAAATGCAAAGTGGGTCAATGTGAAATGTCTGCGTGGCCCAAGGACACAACGTCACAATGCACGAGACAAAGGAGTCTTTGAATCAACAACCTTTTTAGTTATAAAACATTGGGACTGCTGCTATGGGCTATTTTCTTTTATTATGAGATTAACAGTTAACCTTGGTTTTCTACATCACCTGACTCTCTGTAATACCCTCCTTTGTTTTCCTTTTATGCATAATCCCCATAACCAAAATTCTGTTCTATAAAATTTACATTTGTTTATGAAATAATTCGTTAATATCTGCTCTGCAATTACGCTTATAGCAGAGGGTTGTTTGGCATAATCCCGCTAAATCTTGTTAGGCCTCATTTGGCATATTGCATTGGGAGCTTTTTTCTGTGAAGCCAGGTGCACCCTCTTAAAATCAGAGATCCCATATTGTCTCTAAGTGAGGTTCACCGCGGATCAGACATGATAAGATCGTCCACTCATGATCTGAGCACGGTTACGCAGCTGCACTTTCCGTGGGGTCACACTTGGAACCTTATGCGCTATGGACAACAGCAGTACGTCGTGGATCTTTGGAGGAGACGAGGAGACGGCGCTGGTAACTGTGGCCCCAACCATCTTTCCTCGCTTTGGCTACAGTATCCTCTCTTTTCTCATGTTCATCACCACCGTGTTAACCGTGTTCAATAATGGGCTGGTGATTGTAGTGATGGTGAGGAACTCTCTGCTGCAGCCCATGAACGTGCTGATCCTGAGCCTGGCGGTGTCTGACCTCATGATCGGCCTGTGCGGCTCGCTGGTCGTGACCATCACCAACTACAGAGGCTACTTCTTCATTGGGCGTGCCGCCTGTGTCTTCCAGGGATTTGCGGTCAATTATTTCGGTGAGTTGGGAGATGAAAGTTTATTTTATTTAGGTGCAGTGTCTCGGGGCTAAGGCTGTTTTCTTGGGGCCAAAAGGTTAAAGCACAAAAGTTGGCAGGATATTGTTTTCCTCCACACACAGGCTGTTTTTATCCCACAGTGGTTGAGATGACTTTTTATTCCTTAGATAGCCTGTCCATTTCAACAACTTCTTGAAATTTTGCCATAGGCTAAGTATTTTAGAGATACATTGCTTGGTTATTGTGTTACTGCATCAGTATAAAAATGTGAGTCATTTGTGAGAGTGCAGTTTCATGGTTATATGGAACCAAGCAAAAGAATGAATCTACAAAAACCGAGTCTCTCAAGAGTTAAAACAATGGGACTGCTGCTATGGGCTATTACCTCTAATCTAAAGCTTATAATGAGTTAAATGCTCTTTCCATTAAGCCATTAAGTCCAAAACATAGTTTAAATGTAAACGAAGGGTCGTAACAATTAGAACTGTATAAGCAATAAAAGTTGGCTACACTTGAATCACTTTCAAAGACTACTCTCAAAGCAAATGTACTAAGCTGTATGCTACAAATTTATATTGTATATTGCGATATAGTACAACCACAATATGTTTTATCACACATAATAATCTCCATACTATATCCTTTCTTTTCATATGTGGCTGTAATGGATCATAAGATCATGATGTCTCAGCTTGGACTTGAAAGCACAATTTATTTCAGACATTTATTTCTCTTAGAAGATTACTTTCTCCCGAACTCATTGCCCTTAGAACCCTCTTATAAAGATCTCTCGTTGCGACCCTTCACTCACTGCTTCTCTGCTGTCGTGCAGGTCTGGTGTCCCTGTGCACTCTGACCCTGTTGGCCTATGAGCGTTACCATGTGGTGTGTAAGCCGCGGGCAGGGCTTAAGCTGAGTATGAAGAGGAGCATGATGGGTCTGCTCTTCGTCTGGGTCTTCTGCCTCTTCTGGGCTGTTACCCCTCTGTTTGGCTGGAGCGGCTATGGACCAGAGGGGGTCCAGACTTCCTGCTCTTTGGCCTGGGAGGAGAGGTCCTGGAGCAACTACAGCTACCTCATCCTCTACACTCTGCTCTGCTTCCTCATCCCAGTGGCCATCATCATCTACTGCTACTACAAAGTACTCACACACATGAACAAGGTGCCTCTTTTGTACAGAGTATTAGCAATAGTAGTAGTATTATAGTATTATTAGGGCCGTGTGTGCGAATATCTAATCGAATTGTAAACTCATTCCTGTGACAATCTGCTATTTTGAGAAAATCACCATATCACCTTTTTCTCTCGAATGCAGCTCTATGCTCAAATAAAGACATTTTTTTCCTGCCCACATCTCCTATTGATCAGCCTCAGAAACACAAGATTTAACCAATCGAAATGAAGTGTGAGCTTTCAAAAGAAGCAGATGACTTTAGATACCTCTTCAATGAAATATAAAGATACCCTTTATGTGAATCTTGATCAAATCAAAATTGTGATATTATTTGACATATTATATATACAACATAATACAAAAAATGCAATATATTATTGTATTTTTGTTTCTTTTATCTAAATGATTATATGAAGAGCGAATAGTTAAAATCCAAATTCATTTTGTCTTGTCTTGAATGCAGTGATTTGCTTCATAAAATGACATAGCCAAGGATTATTGAAAGAAGGCAGAATCCACCACAGCCCTTAACAGAGCAGCTCTCGTCCTCGGGGACCTTGTCACAGATGTACTGCCTCTGCTTCATCAGTGGAGGACCTAACTGTGAAGTAACCTCTACCTCATAGTCGTAGATCATAGCTAGTCGGTTGCTTAGTTTGACTCTCCAACAATGACCTGTTTAACAGCTCGTTTGGTCTCCCAGAGGCCCTCTCCACAAGGTGCAGTTGTACTCATTATATTTTTTCTCCTCTAGCTGAACCGAAGCGTGGAGCTCCAGGGTGGTCGCTCTAGTCAAGAGGAGAATGAACATGCCATCACTATGGTCCTGTGTATGATCGTAGCCTTCTTCATGTGCTGGCTGCCCTACACTGTCTTATCTGTGGTTGTGGTGGCAGATCCAGAGCTCTATATCCACCCTCTAGTTGCCACCATGCCTATGTACTTTGCCAAGACCAGCCCAGTGTATAACCCAATCATCTACTTCCTGTCCAACAAACAAGTAAGGACTTTCAAATGCAGCTAATAACTAGAGATGCACAGATCTAACAAAATTTTCATTAACAGTGCGGATATCTGATACCAGTATCGGATCGGCACATCTCTACTCATGACACTAATTTTTTGCTGCTGCTGATTTTGTTGTGTCCTAGTTTCGTGATGCCACTCTGGAGGTGCTGTCCTGTGGAAAGTACATCCCCCACGGTCCTGCCTCTTCCAACATCATCATGCAGCCGCTCAACAACAGGGAAACCCGGTTCCCTCTCACACGCACTATTCACAGCAAGGTGCTGCCTCTGTGACATAGAAACACAATATAGATGCAATAGGGATGTACAGACTGTGACTGGAGTTCCACTAAAGAGCAGGTGGGACTGGCCTGTGTTATCCATCCAAGACACCTGTGCTACAGTGAGAGTGGTGCAGGGAAATGTGTTTTTGAAGAACTTGCTTTTTCTAAAACTTTTCTTGCTAGCAAAGCAGGTAACGCCTGTCTATCCACCAGAAGGCCAGGGGTTTTCTAGAGATCTGGGTATTTATAATACACGTTAGTAATTTCTATATGGTGTAGTTATTGCAGTTGATCGACTTTTATTTCAAGGAATATTATTTAATAGTAAAAGTACTTTAAGCAAAGGTGGGTAGAGTAGCCAAAGTTGTACTAAAGGGAGAGCACTGTTACTTCAAAATATTTATACTTAAAATACACTTAAAAGTATAAGGTATAAAAAGGTGTAAGAAATTATTCAGGTAAAAGTAAAAAGTATTTGAAGAAACCACTGTGAGTGAGAGTCACTGTAAATAATGGACAGAATCTGGTATTTTCAAAAAATAACCATAATAAATAATTTAATATTGTCAAAGTAACTTATATAGCAAATAGCAATAGGAAACGTAACCAAACCTTTTACTCAAGTAAGAGTACTGTTACACATAACTACTGTATATTACTCAAGTATGAGTAAAAGTACTGTGTCTGAAACTACTCCAAGATTGTATCATACAAGTGAAACTGAGTAAATGTAGTTAAGTACTACTCACCATTGCCTCATTGCCTAACATTATTGATCAATGATTGTCTCAGCCATGGGGTAAGTAATAAAGAGACTGCAGAGGAAAGACTAGATAACCCATTTTAAAGTCCCAGATATGTTTACTCATCACACATGCCCCCTTTTAGGCAGTAGTTTGTTTTAGTTGAACTTCTTGTTGTTTTTATGTTTCTAGGACAATGAGTGTGAATGCTGGAAAGTAGCCAAAGAGACCAAGAACCAGGGCAGTGTCCTTTGTGCATTTGTAAACCATTTGTAAAAAGCTCTGTGCATTTTAATAATTTAACACTTAAACCATGTAGAAAGTAAATTAGTTGACCCCTTATTTTATTTATAGAGTTTCTGCAGAGATAGTGCTGGACAGTGCATTCCTCCAGTGAGAAAATTGATTTTACATAAATTACATTGTGCAGACCCTTCCATATATTCCCTGTTAAGTTGCTTCTGTGACTTCTCCCACACCACATATGTAAATACCTATGTAAAATGCACGTATAGCCTTTTGTGTTATTACTTTATCGCTGTGGCCAGATTAAATTTTATATGGGTGATGCAATTCACAGGTCATGCCCTTTTTCCAACTCGCACATTTTCCAAAACACATGATTTGATTTTGCCGCAGTGTGGACGGTATAGGAATAATTTCTTTCATAAGTACCTGTGTGGATACTAGCTTTCCTCAATGCAATTACACAAGTGGAGGAGGGGAGACCAAATACAACAAATCCTCTCTTTCTCTCGTGCTCTCTCTCTCTGCTTCACTGTGTCTGTGATAGAGCTGCTAACACAAAGGAGGAAGTCATTTGTTTGAATCAGTTCTGCATTAGCCACAAAAGCACATAATTAAAACAAGACAAATTTGGCAGCGTTTCCAGTTTTCCTGTACTCTATTTAAGCTCACAAAAGTCAAAGAGGAAATGTATTCTCTCCATTTGGTCCCAGTAGTGTGAAATGGGATTGGAGTTTATTAAAGGGTCTGTACTTTTTTATTTTATTTAAATTTTGTATTAAATTCGTCTTGCCCCAGTACAGATATATTGTATAAGCAGCTCCAGAGGTCAAAATAAGTCAACCGAGTGCTATCTGCATCTAATTCGAAATGATATTTATGGTCCAATAAACAGGAAGTGCACATTAGCATTCTAGTTGTCGTCAGCTTTACTCAGAATTCCAGTCTGGTTTCTGAAAGTTTTGGAAAAGGGCTTATAAATGCATCACCGGTGAATAATTAAGATGCTCAGAATGCATAAGGTAAGTGAGGGATAACTAATTGCAAACTGTAAAATGAACTAGATCTGTTTTTCAAATCTGAAGTAAAAATCAGGTGCAGTGCCTTTTAAAGATCCAAATTTGTAGAGAGTGATTTGCGTGATCGGAATATTGTAATGATTTTCAAAGATCATACTTGATAATTATGTTAATTGTGTTTGTCTGGACGGCTCTTTCATTAAAATTATGACAGCTAATGAGTTAAGAGTCAGACAGAGTTCCTCTTGATCGTTATTTTTGAATTTGATATCATCAGGCAGTAGGAGAACATTTTGTCCTCCGAGCGATGGAAAAATGACTGAACAAATGGATTAAAGAACTCACATTTCTTCAGTTCATGTGTTGTGTCCCCAGTCGGCAGAATGGTCAGAGGTCTGTGTCGATCAAAAGTAGCCCAATGTTTGTTGTAATGTGTATGGATTTGATTGCATATGACGTTACAGCACAGAGATGATCAGGTGGTCATAAATCTGTGTATTGTCCTGAAGATAAGAAAGTCAAGATTTCTTGTTTTTCCCCGTTGATCTGCTCAGAGATGCACTACGCAACTTTTCTGGTGTAAAGTCACCACCCACTTGTCTCTGTAGAGTTGTTATTGCTTTGCCTAGAATGTTCAATAGTAATAAAAACAAGAAGATTGATTTAATGCCACACTGAGGAACATTCCAAGCAAAGACAGAACATTTCCATGGATACAAGCAGTTGGTTTTGGTTCAAGTGTAACATCGGTGTTGTTGACTGTCTTGTTGTAAACAGTCCAAATAGGAGCTGATGCTAAATAAAGTTCCTTTCATTTCCCCTTATGCTCTTGTTCTCTTTCTGAGTGGGGAATCTTTCTTCTTCTGCCCTTTTAGTCACTATATTGTAGAACAGCACGGGGCATTTGATCAGCCTAATATGTTTGTGTGCAGTGAAAAAGGCATTGTGTTGATCTAATCCAGATTTGGCGTAGTCCGTAATCTTTTTCACATTTGAGGCAAAGAGCATTTCACACTATATCTCTAAACAGGATTACATAATGTCATGGTATAATCCCACAGCATGGTCGCCCCTCATTTCCCTTCGACAAATGTAGAAGTTTCTCGTCATCCATCTGGCCTTGTTAGTGCCAACTCTTGTGATGTGATCTTTTGGACCATGGGGACAGCTGTGCACTTAACCCAGCAGTGCGTAACAGTGGCTTTTGGTTAAATCTGTACACTCCCCGGAATAGTTCTTTTTATTTTATTTTTGTCCATTCTGGATTTACGACAGCAAATTATCTGATCTCTTGGGTGCATTCTCTTGTGTAAAAACGTGTAAAAGTTAGGGATGCAAGATTAATCAGAAATTGCTATTTGAATGGTCGTAATTAGCAAATCGTAAAATCTGTAATTATTCAAGCCTTTTGCAACGACAAAAATGGTCTTATTCTCAAACATGGGATTCCTGTATTAGTTTAGCAGTTCACGTTTCAGATCTAGTTGTAATTGGGATGCCTGTCAGAGAAATCAGTTTTATTTTTTTTTCAAAAATCTTACAGCACTAGTAAATATTGTGCAGTATTTAGCTCCTGACCTGACATTCTTAATCTATTCAGGCCTGGGTCAGATTTTCAAGATGTCAGTGTTTTGTTTTTTTTTTGTTTTTTTATAGCTCTTCTTTATCTTTCATTCAGCCTAGACCACCCTTTCTTTTAACAGTTGCAGGCAAAATTATAATTGGGATATTTTATAATTTTGATTCAATAGCTGTATTCAACTAGCCAGGCTGGCACCGCCTAGTGCATCCGCTCAATTTCATTTCTCTCCAGTGACTAGGTCAGGAATCGGAATACACTTGACGATTTGCAGAAACCCTGGAAGTTATAGATTGTGCATCGGCTAATCAGCTAAGAGCTGTGAAGCCATGACGTCAAACTCAGTTGCCTGTCTGGGTCCCTTTTGTGATACAGCACAACAGGAAACAAAGAGGTCAAGATGGATGTAGACAAAGCCAAACATTCTGTGTTGGCAACGATTCCTGAGATCGAGAATTTAAAGCTGGAACAAAGAGAATGTTTGGTCAGTTTTATCAAGGGGAAAGATGTTATTGCCCTTCTTCCTACGGGATTTGGGAAAAGCTTAATATACCAGTTAGCCCCTTTAGCGGCGCATTACATACATCACGACCAAATCGCAGAGATTGGTTAAATTTTAAAAAAGTACCTGTCTCCCACCGAGCAAATAAATCCTAATGCTGTGAGGTTAGACGGTTTCCACGAAGTGAGGCTAGTATTCAACCAGTTCAACCAATAAACCATATATTCATATTCTCTTTACCAGACAACTGGGGTGGAAAGTAACTAACATTTAACATTACTGTAATTGTAATTGTTCTGTACTGTGATATTTTGAATAATTTTATTTTTTTAGTAGATTTTTAAACCTGTACTTGTATTTCTAACAGAGAACAGTTCTAACCATGTAATTGTAATGATTGTAATGAGTTACATATAAAATCATACAAGTTTTCTACTCAGACTCACACATAACAGCTTTGCACCGCCTGCACTGATTGGACAGAGCTCAGATAATATGTGGGTTGTGGTTTGTAATGATTAAATTCAGTTTTAAACTGTTAAATTCATATAAATTTCTGATCTAAAATGCTGCTAAAATGTGTTTAAAAAGTAACTAATAATGTACAATTTTGGAAGTAGTACTTAGCTAAAAATTTACTCATTTACAAATATATGTAACTGTACTAAACTTGAGTACTCTTTCCACCACTGAGATAGAAGATAGTCACTCTAGACCAGGGGTGTCAAACTCATTTTGGTCCAGGGGCCGTATCCAACCTACTTTGATCCCAAAGGGGCCGGATCAGAAAACTCATGGCATATAAACCCCAAAAATAACAATAAATTCAAATATTTGTGCAGAGAAACACAAATCTATTACAGAAATCTTTTTTAATTGATGAACTCTTTCTTATTATATTATAATATTATGGAACAACCTGAAACTTTAAGAAAAATTCAATTTCAACATTTAAAATATTTTAGTATAAAAATCACCCAAGGGCCACATTAAAGGTCTTGGAGGGCCGGATCTGGCCCTCGGGCCTTATGTTTGACACCTGTGCTCTAGACTGTTGTCCTGTTATGCAATCTAGCATCATTATTTGTTTCTTTTCGTAGGACATTTTCTCACATTTTCTTCTTAATCAAAAATACCTGGTACGGTCAAGAAGTGATGAAACAAAACAAAAGAGTATAGAGTCTATTACAGATCTTGATTTAATGCTTTTGCCAATAATCTAAAGCTGTTTCACTTAGTCAGAAAAGTGACAAAGATTGACAAATATGAGCGGGTGTGGAGCTGCATTCATCCGTAAAGTACTAAATCACAATATATGAATCTCCCCAGATGTCCAATTTACGATTTCATATAATATCGTCATTATGTCCACCGTAATCTCTTGCATAAGTAATTTGGGCCTTAACGAACTACACATGCTTTCAATTACCCAGCGGCCATTTTTCTGCCACCTCCTCTGAGCTCGCCATGCACAGCTTTTAATGACTGTGAACGATTATGTCTCCCCCATGACCTTCTTGTGGTGTGATGTGCTAATGAAAAGGGCGTGTCTTGTGGCATAACATGTCCGAGCTTTTAGTTTTAACCATAAATAGTCTCCAGGAAGTTCACACATCTTCCATTTGTAGAAGGAGCTCGAAGAGGTCTGGACCAATATCTCAACATGCTGTGATTAGATATGATAGGACACTACTTCTACGCATCGGACAGGAACAGAACCACTTTGGAAACTTATATTGAACTTGGATTTGTCGTGGCAAACTGCTTGATTCTTTTGGCAACCTTTTTTGTTGGTATTGCTGCTAATGTTTTCGTAATGCTAGCTGTATACAAGCAAAAGAGTCTTCAGACCTCCAACAACGCCTTGGTGGTGAACTTGGCGGTCATTGATTTTCTCAGATGCGTCATCGACTGTCCAGTTTTGCTGACAATCATTTCGACTTTAAATCAGAAAGGTCATGTGAATAAAAGTATCATTTGTGATATGCAAGTAGTCTCTTTTTCCTTCAGTTGTTGTATTCAGTTACTAACGCTGGCTTGTATAAGTGCGGAGAGATACCAGGCCATTTCACAACCCTTCAAAACTGCCCAAAGAAGAAAACGCATAATGGTGTGGATCCCACTAACATGGATAATCGCCATTGTGGTTGCCCTATTTTGCTTGATTTTCCTGAAAGACTCCCCTGTTTACCTCAGATGCCACGGAGTTGGGCATGGAACACATCAAGTATCATACGACAGATATGGTCTCTATATGGTCCTTCCTTTATGGGCTGTTTGTTTCAGCATCATTATCGCTTTCTACGCTCGTATCTTCTTCCTGGTCAGATCACACAACAGGAAGATTTTCGATAAAGGCATCATTTCTGTAAAGAAAGAGGAGAGCAAGAAAACAGAACTCAGTATTATCCAAATGGAACCAATGGGGATGGAAGCTGCACAGAAATCACCCAACAAAGATACAGTGTCGGCTTTGTTGACCTCCAACCTCTCACAATGCATCTCTCCAGGCGCCGGGAATGAAAAGGAAAACGCATTGGAGGTAATTGAATTGGAACAGCCTTGTAAGAAAGCAATACAGGATGGAGGGAGAGCTTGTGAAAGTGTGAAGCCAAAGACTACAGGAACAGATGGAGATGTAAAGGACGGGGTTAAAAGCTCAGTCTCCAACTTGCAGCAAATGTCGCACAATCTGAACTCAGAAAATCAAAAAGAAAAAGCACAAAATGACAAACCGGTCTTGGAAAATAACCTTGACGTTCAGACCGCTGCGCAAACAACCAGCCAAGAGCCAGTTTCAGATGTAAAGATGAAAGCTAGTGATAGTGCAACAGTGGATGCAGTATCTCCAATTACAAAAACAGAGGTGGGGAACCCAGTGGAGAACATAGAGGGGGCGGTGTGCATGATGCCTTCAAAGTCAAACAGAGAAAGGGCCAACAAAAAGAAGGAGAGCAAGATGGCCAAACGTGCCGGCTACATCATTGTCACCTTTCTGCTCTTCTGGCTGCCCATCATCATCACCATCATCCTCAACTTTGCACTGCACAGAAATAAGTATATTCAAGTAAGTCACTGAAATTGAAATACAGTGCTTTACATTTCAGAGAGAGATTTATTAGTGTATTTATGTTAGTACTTTTATACGTGTACAGGGGGATGTAACTACTAAACTATTCTTCCATTAAGACGTAGCTGTACTTTTCTTATTACAGAAGTACACATTATTTACTTTTTATCTATAAATCTATATGCTTTTGTGGGCTATGTAACCTTTCTGGCGATGGTCCACCATCTGCTTATCTCCAGGGAGATTTAATGAATGTTCCACAGTATGGCATTAAACATAAGTAGCTTGCATTTAATCAATATTTTATTAATTTCCTTCTCAAAAACATGCATTCTTAATGTGAACATACCAGTGTCGTCTCTTTACAGCTTGGCCTTTTGCTGTCCCCTTCTTGTTTCCATGGAGATAAGTTTAATGCTTTATTGTGGTGGAGTAGGAGCTGTATCCTTCACCAGAAAAGTTACATAGAGTACACCTAGCACAATAAAGTAGTCAGTAATATTTGGATTCAACTAAGCGTAATTATACTTATTAATTAATATCCAAAAAATATAGAAAAATATACATTTTCTAATTGACATTTGAGGAAAAAATAACTAAATAACTAATTTATTCTTAATTTAGTAAACTTCAATGTAATTTTTCCTTGCAGATTGCTGTGGTCCATGACTTGGAGGTGCTGTCTGTGTCAGTGACCTGTGTTACCTCCCTCAGTAACCCCATCATATACGCCGCTGTGAACCCGCAGTTTAGAGCTGAGTTTTACCGACTCAGAAACAAACTTACTAAACAAACTCTGAGCTGCTCTGTCAGATCGTAACCATCAAACATCAGCAACGCTACGGAAAAAGTTAATAAAACAGAACGTCAGGGGCAGAGGAGTGATGGACACAGAGGCGCAACATACAAACTTGGAATATCAGAAAATAATAATTATTCACCTCTCATAAAGTTGTAAAGTTAAACTGCAACATCTCATCCACATGATCCATAGAATTTGTCCTCCGCACATAATGATGCCCAGTCCACAAAATTAATCGCTATTAATCCAGTTTGAGGTTAAAGTAAAAAGGTGAGAGTAGTTCCTCACGTGTGTCTGTTTACATCCGTGCAGCGCACGGATCGGGGTGAAGCTGCAGATTATCCATAGTGACTATCCTGTGTACTTTATCATCAGCCTTCTGTGCATAAAAAATCATGTATATGAAGCTTTGCACCATATTTCACAAATAATAACACAGTTTTGACTTGTATCTAAACTAGAAGTGCAGTGCTCTGATCTTTTGCACACTTAAGAGTCTCAATGTGAGTCGTTTTACTTGACAGGAAACAGCTGACACAAGCTGCACTCACAACTTTATAGCCGGTAGTCTGCAGCCATATCCCGCTGCAGTCTTTGTGACCAGAGATTTAAACTCTCGTAAGATTCTCCTCTGTGCCTGTGGTGAGCACTTTTTGACACATGTTTAAAAATCTTTTAAGAAAAGAATAATCCTATAGTGTGTGTCCGGCCTTAAGTGTAGGAACCAATAATGTAACAGAAAAAATGTTGCCAAAAAATAAAATTGACCTAAAAATAGAACATAATCAATTAACTTTAAATATCTTTTCTATGTTGCTATGTTTGTTTCTGTGTTGCTGCTGCCGAACTATGACTTTCCTTTGGGATCAATGAAGTATCTATCATCATGATAAAAGTACTCAAACTGTTCTAAATACTCAGTACATACATGTGTGTAACTCCTGTCTTGGGTATTTCAGTCATAAAGAGTCGCTGACTTCAGCAGTGCCTATCACCTGCAGAGCCGAGGCACCACACGCTGTTGGAACAATGAGCCCAATGGGGGAAGTTACGCCATCCACAGCTCAAACAAGTGCACATTTCCCCCCTGAGACTCCACATCACAGGGCCCACCGCTGGGACAGTCAGGTCCACACATGTCCTGCAACTCACAATCAGCATGAGGAGAGACCAGTCTGCTATGAGTAACACTTTTTCCTTCTTTCACTCTTTTTTTGTTTGTTTTTAGATTACTGCTTTCTTTGAGCAATACTTTGTATTCTTATTGTTTTGAGGCAGGAGTGTAGCATAAAATTTTGGGCCCTGGGTACAAATCATCTTCTTGGGCCCACACTACATGTTCTCTAATGAAAAATGCATATTGCAAATTTTTGTCTGCCTCCCCAGAACAACAGACCTGTTTTGAAGTAATTGTGGACACTTTAGTAAACATTACTTGAGTAACTGTTATGAACAAAAATCACTTCTAATTATACGCATTTTCTTGCATGGTATTGGAGATGTGGTTGGAGGATATTTGTATTTTTTGTAGTTCTAAATTCAGTTGACAGAATTTAAGTTTAAATCCTGTTTCAGTTTTTTGCAACTCAGTTATGAGGTTTATTTCTTGTGTTTTTCAAAAGTGCACGAAGTAACTTTTCTAGTGGAGGGCCCAACAGCTAGTCTCCATGGAGAGGCTATTGCTTTGCCTGGAATCGGAGTATGGCATAAACATGTCTATCGCCAAGCCAAATTACAGCGGCAGGAGGGGGCCTCGCCCAGGGCACAAATCAGTAAAGGACGGCCACTGCAGATCAGTTTAACGTTAAAGTGAAAAAAAAAAAAAAATGTTATAATGTTACAGTGTTCTCTCATAATTACCTTACTCAAAGTTGTATTTCGAGCAGTTTATGGATATTTGAGTAATCCTGTAATTACTTGAATGAATGATGGTTGAGTGCTCAGAAAACTGCAGTTTTTGCCTACCCCCTATCTCCACCCACACCTTGTTCTTAATGATTCAAATTATTATTCAAAAACTTCAGACTCCCATAAATGAAAATGCACTGCTTATTACAGTGAAATGCCACTGTGAAATAATAATCTGTAATCTTATACTCAATACCCACAAAAACATGTCTCCGCTAATGTCTTATTGTAGAATTTTCCAGGCTTCATGCAAGCAATAACATCTCCACAGAGACAAGTAATGATGAACCTCCTACCAGAAAAAGTTACATGATGCACCTTTAAATATGTTTAAATAATGTTTTTGCTGAATATGAGTTGATATGATTTATCTGTTTACTAAAATACAAACCAAAAAGCATCCACAAGTAATTCACTACTTCTCACCTCTACTAGGTCAAATATTTAGAGTACTAGAGTTATACAGAGTACTTTTGAACACAATTTTAAAGGTCTTATAATACACAATATGGATTTTCGAGATTTAAGGAAGTTAGAATGCTGTTATTTTCTCAAAAATATACCTGTAGTTGAGTTTTGTTTCATTCACACACGTTTGAGAAATCCTATTAATATTAATATTATTAGTAGGTCTACATCTCCAAAGCTCAAAAGGCTCTGTTCCACATTGTGATGTTATGAAGCGGTAGATTTCAACAGCTACCTTTCACCTTTAGTTCAGTAGAGATGATAGTTCCAGGGCTGAAATTATTCAAATGATTCTAGTGAAGGTGTATGGAGTTTAAAAACACAGTGGAGAACTTTCTGTATTACCACAAGACATCACAAGGTGGAACAGAGTGTTTTCTATCTGAGAGAAGAACTCATCCTAAGTATGCAGGGTTTGTGTGTTAAACATGTATGGATTGAACAAAACACAACTTATTATGAGGAAATAAAATTATAACATAAGAAAATAGCAGAATATGGGCCCTTTACTGACACCACCTCTGACTGTAAACCCAAATCCCGTAAAGAAAGACATGGCTCAATAGTTGGATGTTCATTTGAGCTACAGTATTTATTCTATCCACTGCACCAAATGCACAATGTGATATATTTTAACCCTTTCTTTACCTTTTTAATTTGTACTTCATTACAAGATTTCATTAAAATCATTAAAAGTGCTGCTCAATTTACACCATAACATCCCAGTCTCATTTAATTGTCATTCCTCAATCATTTTTCATCATTTTTAAAGGACAAAGCTCAAAACAGGAAGCAGAGAGAGAGAGAGACAAACTTTAAGAAGAAAAAACTGAATTCCGTAATGACAGCATGCAAATCCTTAATTCAACCAGTTAACACACAAAAGCAGTATGCCAACTAAATCTAAAAAGGAAAGTATACCCAACTTTCAAATGCAGATGATCGTCTTTCCGAACAGAGATATTTACAGCAATGGAAAAATGTACAAAATGACGCTTTTAACACAGTGTACCATTAAATCTCACGGGAGAATGCATTAATTTAATATAATTTTTTCCAACATTATGTCCACTTTTGTATTACTTCTCTAGCCAACTATGACTGCAAATACCCTGTATATTTCTCAATTGGTAATTAATGGAAACGGCGTTGACCCAGGATGTCAATAAGCTAACACAGAGAATTGAATTTCATAACTTTCACATTGCACAGTTCACAAACATGTCAGGATGCGTGGTAGTATTTTTACTCAGCGAGCAGTCCATGGATCGGTAATGAGGAGTCACAAAACGGCAATTCATTCCAGATAATGTGATGAATTTCTGAATTTACAAGAACGGGGAAACCTCTTCATTGTGGCTCTTTGAAAATGTATGTAGCAAACTCCTAAATATGGACACAATATTCACAATAAGATGAGAATGAGTGTGCTTTGTCGATACAGGCCATTTTATGTGACCCCGAAACATCCGCCCCTCCTCCTACGATGACAAAAACATTACATATTCAAAAAAATAAAGTTTTTCTCAGTATTTTTAGGCAACACCGATATTTAGACAATCCCAAAAAAATTCTTTCCGCTGTGCTTTAAAGGAGCTGCTGGTTACGTTTCCTTCCCCAAAGTCCATACATCAAGTAGTTACCATGCAGAGATTTGACATCAGATGAAGAGTCGTCTTAGATTATAATCTGGTATAATCTGTCTCTGGAGTATGGCAGGTTGATGCTTGTGTGTGGTCCCCTCTCCTTTCAGCAGTTTTGGTACTTCTACTACAAAGACCAGTTAGCTGATAGGCAGATAGGCTAACAAAATGACATCTACAAGGCAGATACTCGAACTATGTTGCTTTGAGAGTAGACAGCGGCGGTGGAGCTGGTGGAGCCGTCCCCGTCCGATGATGTCACCACGGGGGCTTGCAGGCTGACCATGGCGGGCGAGATGTACGGGTCATCACATTTCAAGGGCACCGTCTCGTCCAGTTTGGCATTCAGGCTGGAGCGGCTGTGGGGAGACAGGGACAAAAGCTTAAGACCTTGCAATATCACATCATCACACCTCCCTCTCTCTCTTTGCCACAGTCGATAAAAATGTTCCTTTTTTTTTTTTTTCAAATAAACCAAGGAAAACACTCAACAATAGGGTTTTTGATTGAAAGAAAAGAGCAAAGATCTATAACACACCACTGACCCTGCAATGATAGAGATGAAAACTATATACAAGGGGAATCCATTACAAATATTTCAAAAGGATACTGTGTGCACCTTATTTAATTTTAATAAAGCATAAATAAATATTTAATTCATGATGAGCACATCATGTTAGTTCATTAAAGGGCCCATTTTACACTGTTTTCTGATCTATGTTATGATGTTTCCTCACCAAAACCATACCTGGACTTGTGTTTTGTTTAATACACTAAGCCTGCATATTTTGGCTGAGTTCTTCTCTCACTCTGTTCCACCTTGTGATGTCATGTGGTAATACAGGAAGTGCTCTACTGTGTTTCGAAACTGTACAGCTTCATTAAATTATATGGCTAATTTCAGACCTGGAACTGCCAATCTTTACTGATCAAAAGAAAAAGGTAGCTGAAATCTACCGCTTCATGACATCACAAGGTGGAACAGAGCATTTTGAGCTCTGAGACTAATAATAGTGTTAGTCAAACATGTGTGAATGAAACAAAACACAGCTCCTGGAATGTTTTTGAGGAGGTAACTATAATTATAACATGGACTTAAAGCTCATAAGAGACAATTTTGCCTAATATGGGACCTTCAAGAATGATTCGGGATTAGTAACTATCTAATTAAGGCATTAGTGCATTAATTAAGCCTGAACTTTTTTTTTTATAAACTTTTTGTTCTAATTAAAGTGTAGTTAGCATAAGGTGTACAGATGCTTTGTCCATGACCTTGCCATCAGACAACACAAATCTGTATATTAAAAGGGCACTATCTAACTTTTCTCATGGAGGGTGCACCACTTCCACGAGACAGAAATGATGATAATGAGATAGATATGCGCAATGCCATACTGTGGAACATTCCAGGCAAAGTAATAATACTGTAAATATGAAGGCAAGCATCTGTCTTGCATATGTCAGACACTGGTCCTATCTCGTAATGACAACACAACGGTACTCTGATCTGGGCAGAGTGAGTGTATGGGCTTTCAAACGAGCCATGAACATTTTGTATTCGACAAGGGCACAATATAATAAAACTAATTATCTATCCCTTTCATGAGTAATGTCTTGATCAGTAGAATCTCACTGAAAATCACCGCTGGATCTTAACAGCAAATTATAGCTACTCCAAAGTGAATTATTATGTCACTGCTTCATTGCTGATGCCACAAAAAACAACACACAAACAAAACCATTGAACGCTGCACTCTTAGTTAATAGCCTTTTTCACAGCCCGCTACACATTTGCTCAGTACTGTATGTGGAGAAAGTGTGTCATAAGGTCAACCCATTTAGGAAACAAATGCTGTGCTTTGCTCTGTGCAGGATAACTTTTAATTTGGCTTTGTCACTGGGTTTAACATATAGACCAACACAGACTTTAATCACAACGCAATTATCAACAAACAAAGCTCACTGATACGCTCAACTTGTCATATTTAACTTTTTTGCTGTTGTGCTAATTGCTTTCTCCTCCGCCACATATTACTACGATTTATCAGTTTGAGTAATGCCAAAGAGTGGGCACTTGAACGGCCATGCTTCCAGAGTGGGGTGGTGGTCAGTGGGTAAGCAGAACTACTACACTGGTGAGTATCATGTTTAAATGTCACTGAGAAAGGGGCAATAATGATAGAATTGCTTTACTGTAATAAATACAACCTTTACAAATAAATCAACCAATAGATAGATATCCAAATATGCCTTACTGTGAAATACATTACCAACAATAAATAATATAGTTATTTAAATCTACCATTTGTAATTCTGTTGCTCAGATATAGGTCAACAACATTTAAAAACTATTCAGGAAGTGATCAACTTAGTCCTTAGGCTCAGTGGTTAGAGCTGTGGTCCCCCAACCCAAAGCCTCTACCAAGTTCTGTTGTTATGTCCTTAGGCAAGACACTTCACCCACATTGTCTAATATGAAAGTGGTGTGTGTGTAAATGATTGTCCCAGGGCCGCTGTGGCTACAGTAGTAGCTTACCACCACTGAGTGTGGAATGAAAAATTAGAACAGTGTATATGAGGGGTTTGGTAAGCCTGTAAAACAAATTACAAATGTGAGCCATTATTAAAAGAGTATCTAGTAGTAACTGTTTTTTTTTTTTTTTTTTTTTTTTTTTTCAACAAAATGAACAACATTCATTTAACTTACTAAATGAAAAAATTCTCTCACTTTGTCACACATTTGAAACTTTTCCTCTACGTGTGCCTACGTGTCTAATATACTGTATGTTTGGTTTTTCACACAAAGTACATCACAAAGTGTAATGTTTTATAAAGCTTGCCTCAAACTTAGCCATTTTCCATTCACAGCTCCACTCTTTTTGAATACATTCTATACTGCTATATTTATGCATGAATACATGTTTCTTTATAAGCCAGTACTGAAATGTAAGTGCTTTGGCTTTATTTCAGGTAAAAGAGCGTGTGCATGTATGAACCATATTAAGTGTGCCACAATGGAGAGATAAATTATGGATGAGCCACTGGTCAGACATTTTGAGCACAGCGAACAGGCCACATGTCCCTGAGTAGCAATTAGGTTAGATACAGTGTAATCTACTTATGATGTATTATTTCGCACCAACTGTTTCCAATGCTATTTTCACCTTGACAACAACGTGTTCACAGTTTCAAGGCTCAGAGTTCACAGCAGTAATGAGGGAACATGTTGACACAGTGCTTGACGCTATATATATATATATATATATATATATGCCTGTAGTTATATCTATTTTTATATTTACATTAACTATAGCTTATAATATATTCCATCTGCACAAATAATGTATGTCTGCTGACTTTCATAAGCTACCAATGACTCTCTTGTGAAAATGACAGACTATGATAATGATAAAACCCTACCCTAACCCTAGAACTGAAGCCAAGAACTAAACAAATGTCTCCATTTGGGGTTTAATATAACATAAAAGCATGACACCTGTATTGTTTAAATTTGATAATGTTAGGACTGTCACATTAAATACTATATCGATTTATTGTACAACACATGAAAGATGGAACAATTATTTTTGTGCGCAATATTTATCGTGTGGACAATTTCTTTGAAATAGTGGGGAGATTGTTGCCATTTTTATGTAATAATGTCAAACTTGAGCTGTGCAGTGTTAAATAAATAACTTCTATGGCTAATTATTGGTTCATTCTGCTATTCATTTGTTACAGCTTAAGCCTTTTAATGACAATGTCTATTTAAAAAGTGGTTTACTGGGATTACCCTGCTTTGTGTCAGTGGCATCTGTATAGCAATATATCGCGCTTTAAAATGTGGTATGGTGACAGATCTAGATAGAAGGTCAGGCAAAATAAATGTAGTTTTGAGTAAAAAACTGAAAACAACCTAATGCTGTATTTGAAGTTTCACTGGCAAAATGTCTACTTTCGGGCCCAAGGAGTCTCATTCACTTTAATGGTATTCTGTTCAGTTCCGACAGACTCCCTATTTTTGTCTATAGAAGAGTTTGAACAGTGATATCACACTTCAGTCAGTCCCTGTGAAGCATGAATTGTATATTGTTTTCACTTCAGTGTAGAATTGTCATATTTTAGCCCATTCTTTATCTTATTATCTGTATGTGTGTGCAGAGCGTACCTGTTGGCCACCGGTCTCTCCCTGATCTGGATGGTGCTCAGCTCCTGGTTGTTGGTGCTGGGCAGGCTGAAGCTGCTTTTCTTGCGGTGCCTTCGGGAGCAGCAGGAGCTCAGGCCGTGTGGAGACGAGGAGAGTGAGGAAGAGCGCGAGCCTGACTTGTTCATCATACTGATCTCCATGCAGTTAGCCTGGAACGTCTGCTCGTCCACAAACTCATGATTCTGTAGAAGGAGAAAGGCACAAATCTGAAGTCAACTAAAACTGCAAATATGTTTATGGTGAGTCCTATAATAATGTAATATAGAAATTGTAAGAAACTAAACTTACTTTGCTCTATGTAATTTTTCAGGGGGAGGGTCCACCACCTGCTTCATCCATTGAAATGGCTTTGACTGAAATGTTCCACAGTATTGGAATAGGTATTTTGGGGCAATTAAAACACCCGCAAAAAGAAAAATGTAAAATAAACTACATTTAATGCCATACTGTCAAGCATCCCATGCAAATAAAATATGTATCCATGGTGGTGGACCCCCTACCAGAAAAGTTACAGTGTGCGCCTTTAAATAATAAATGTAGTGTTTTATCTGTCATTTAGTTCAGCTCCAATTCTGATATATTCTCTCTCTTTTTTTAGATTTCCTTGGGGCAAAGGATTTATTGCACAGCTGAGCTACAGTGTGAAACCACTATTCCGTCGCTTAGTACTCGAAATATATTCTCGTTGGATTTTTGGCGATGACAGTTGACTATTTTAAGCCAGCTCACATGTTATAGTCATACATCTATGTAATACACTAATACACATCCCGTTATTGCAATGTTCAACTGTGCTATTGCATGTTATTCTGAGACTGTCAGAGCTGCTCATGAATCACCATGTTACATCAATAATGATAGGCTGTGCTAACTAATGAGTAAAGATGTTTCACAGTGACGACTAAACAGAGACTCCAGCAAAATTGTTTAATAATTGCTAAATGAATCATCAAGGGGAATCGAAATATATGGGGCCAGATGTCCATATTAAGAGCCATCTGTGAAAACATTCACCACTGTTATCCCTGTGACAAATGGGCTTGACTTGAAGGTCAGTCAGAAATAGTGTCTGTAGTTGTCCAGCAGGGGGCAGGGCAGCACTGATTGAACCACATTAGTACTCCAGCTGCAAACTCTGCTATATAAAGGGACATAATGTATACACTGGCATCTCGCTTGAACCCACGAAGTCTTAATAGGGCTTTTCCCCAAGGCACCAGCCTCCTACTGAGGAGAGGGGATGAGATATGGGGAGAATGCACTCTTGATTTATGGCACGCTCCTGTCTCAGCGCGGAGATCTGGGCTGCCAGTGTGAAAGTCCTGTCACATTAACTCTCTTAGCTCCTGCTCGTCTAAATTATGGATAAGTTTAAATGAAGTGAGCTGGTTTGTTTGGAAGGATTAATGGTACAGGCTGGCACCGTCATGTTATCTTTAGCATGTTGCTGGTGAGTAGACTCAACATAGCCCCATTTACAGCTATTTTTAACTTGTGCTGTAAAGAATAGGAACAGTTTGTGCATGAATGAAAATGGTAACTGTGTCATATAGAAAATGTGTTGCTAAAGACGCACACACTGCAGCAGTTTCATAGAGACCACATTCTTTAAAATCCTATCAGAAAGACTGTAAAATAAAAACAGCATTGCATTACCGTGGTCTTCTCCAGGCAGTGCAGCAAGTGATGGTGCTGGCTCTCGAAAGGCGGGGTGGCAGGCTTGGCCACCAGGGAGTGTGCTGCCTGTTTGGAGGCCTTGGGAAACACAGAGAGATAAGTGTAGATGAGCAGGTCCAAGCCATCAAACACACACAGTCTCAGGCAACAGCTCAGTGATGTAGTGAAGAGGAGGCGAAGCGTAAAGAGTCGAGATGCAGATCTGTAGCACGGCAGCCAGTCTACTGAAACCCTACCATGTTTAAACACAGAACACGTCTCACAGGATAGGTGCCATTCTTTCATTCATTTAATGAGAAGGAACAGAAATTAAGTTTAAAACTGAACATAAAGTCAATGCACAGCAGTGGCACACCTGGACACAGATGAAACACTGCACAGACTCAGACCACAACAACATGACAACACGCTGATGGCTCTGCTCTGGGTGAAGGATGTAGTGTTAGTTTGACCTAAACCTGGATGCTCTAAAAAAAACATTCAAATCACATCAAAAACAGAGTTTAGAGGAGACGCAGGCTGAGCTCAGAGTCCTGTAAGCCTTTGGCAGCTCCTTCCCCTCCAAACCCTGTTGGATAGACATGCTGATGAGTCTCCAGAAGGCCCCTGTGCTGCCCTATGGTCCGAGAGAGTCGACATGTGAGAGAGGTGATGTACCACACAGATGAGAGCAGCCCCTGGGTTACAGCATGGGAAGCCCCCTGCGCCCGGTGTGATGGCATGGTCCCCGAGCACAGCGGCATGCAAGCGTCAGCGCGTCCCGCTCAGCCAGCCCCAGCGCTGCCACGCCCCGTTACCTCCTCCAGTGAGTCGAACAGCAGCCCATTTTGTTTGTAGCGCATATAGGCATTAGTGCCCCGAATCTTCGTAGCGCGGATTCTAGCAAGCCGAGTTTTCTGTTTGAACAAACAGATCTCTGTTTTAGCCTATGACGGTTTGTCTGTCTCTCTAATTGGCTCTGTCTCCCTCTGGCAGCCACAGTATTTAGCTGCAAGCGGCCATGCTAAATCTATGATTAAGAAATTCTGCTATAGCAAACACTTTCAGAAATAAATGCCCATATTTCCATTGAAAAGCTGATGAAACTAAAATCTGAAGATCATTTGTTAAGTCATTGTCATTCCTGCTCTTATTTCTCTCCCACTGAAATACACTCAAGCAAGTATAGCCCACCCGCACAGTCAGACAGAAACACAATACAAGATTAATATTCTGAGAGATAGTGTTTGGCCTGTCATTCTGTTACCAGCGGATAAGACAGCACCAAGAAGGAAAGGCAGATAAAAGCACAAAACAGGCTGAGAGAAGAATAAAAGGCAGACTTGGGACAGTACCCTCTGGGCGCGGCGCTTCTCGGCCCGCTGGCTCTGGTGGTAAATCCGGCTGAAGTTGGACACAATGACAGGGACGGGCAGGGCGATGACCAGCACCCCACTCAGAGAGCAGATGGAGCCAAACACCTTCCCCACGATGGTCTTTGGAACCATGTCGCCATACCTGAAACAAACAAACAAATGGCCCTTAGTACCTTAGTACCACATAAACACAACAAAATGTGACATCTAAGACCTCCATGAAAACACTTTTGAGTTTTTAAAAGTATTTCTAATGTCTTAAAATAGCTGCATCATGACCTTGGATTATTTTACAACTTCAAATGCAAAGTGGCACATTTGAAGTGGGTGAGAACTAAATAGAAGTCTGAAGTCTGTGGCTCTGGCCTACTTTCAACATGCCATCATGATGCGCCTTTAAAATGGTTTCATATATAATTACACACCTGCTGGTATGGGTTAATGCGTTCACGTCGTGACAGTGAACACTACATTTCCCCCATGACCTCACAAGCAAACAGCTCGTGAGAGATCCAAGAGGAGAGGCACGATGGCTAAAAGCAAAAGGGAGCAGTATGATCCTCACTCCAGAGACAACTTTAAGACTGTGCTACTCTGCCACTTCTGTGTTTTGTTCTCTCAATGCTCCATCCAAACAGATGTTGAATATTGAATGTACAACTAACCTACATGAGAACACGCTAAAAGAAAAGGACTGCACTGCAGTGCACCATGGGAGAGTAGTTAAACACAATTTAAATGCTCCACTATGTAAAAAAGCACAGGCTGATTAATAGTGGTACATATCAGTGTCAGGAGGGGCTGAATCATGCCCATTAAAGAGATAGATGTGTCTGTCTCTGAGCACACACCAGTCAACCTGCTCTGCTCTCCACAGAGCCGCTCTAACAGAGGAAACACACCACAGCAAAGCACTGACATTTTACTGCCACAACAAGTGGCAATTATCATTTTACATTAAGATATAATTAGCATTAGCGCTCCTCTAAGGCAATTAGAATCCTGGGCACCAGGATACACAAGAGTATATGTTTGTGTGTTTGCAGTTGGTTTGTGAAGCAAAAATATGTGAGAAAGGAGTGATGTGTACAGCTCATATAGCAGAACATACAGCTGCACATACAGCAGAACATACAGCAGCACGTACAGCAGAACGTTCAGCAGAACGTTCAGCAGAACGTTCAGCAGAACGTACAGCAGAACGTACAGCAGAACGTACAGCAGAACGTACAGCAGCACATACAGCTGAACATACAGCAGCAGACCGCAGGCTGCAGGTGGGAGATGGATGATCAGGACCTTAATGCGTAAATGACCTGAGAAGACCATTAGCACTGGAGAGGAAGATGAATGCAGGTAGAGGAGGACATCAACACTGCTCAGTGGCTGTGACAGCGGCGCGTCTCTCGGCTCAGCCAGCGTAATGTGGATGTATGGCTACACGGGAGGCTGACTATTTCATAAATGAAGTTGTCTAATGCCCACGGCCGTCTGCTTGAGTCATTAGCTGCAGGTTTCCGTCACATTGGGTCTAACACTGGCCTGGGCTCAAAGATGTAAAAGTGGACATTTTAATATCACGCCTGATGAGCCTTCGTGTACAACAGTTTGCTTTCAACTTGAGTGATCTCACAGTGATGTCATTAGTTTCACAGTTCATTACAGGTCAGGTCATTTTCCTATGTAATCACCAGCAAGGCCTGACATCAGGTGTCAATTATAGATCCAGGATGTAATGTTGAAAGCCTATTAAGAAATGCATAAGGAAAGTGTAGGAAAATGATTGGACCATGTGTCATCTTCGAGCCAATATCCCATATCAAATATGTATCTACCTTAGGTTCACAGAAATGTGCAATATTAATGTCCTATGAAAAACTTTGCATATTTTACTTTCTCTGTGCAGAGTAAGTCTGAAAACGTCTGAAAATCGTTTACTGTTGGCCAGGTAAGAAATGTAAGATTTGCACCAAATTAGCAATTTCAGAAGCTGTCTCCAAAACTAGACTTTTTTTTTTCTTCAATGAATGAGCAAGCTATGTTGAGGTAGACCTGGGCAATATGGCAATAAAAATCAAATCCTGTGATGATATGCCATTCTGGTAAAATCACCATATCGTGTTTCCCTATTTTTTTGTTTAATGCAGCTCTATGGTCAAAAACAACACTTTGCACCACTTTTTAATTTTTTCACGTTGGTCTATTTCCATGACGCGCCAAGTGAGGGACAGACAGATTCAGCCAATCACAGCCAAGTCTAAAGTTTGTTTTAGAAACAGCCCATTGCATGAGTTACCTCTTAAATACTATATATAAAATACGAAGAAAACATTGACTATAATAAATTTGAAATCGTGATCTGTATGCCTACATTAAGGTATATTCATTCAAGTAAAACAAAGGCCTTTGAAAACATAAACCAGCTATTCCAAGAAACATAGCTGAAACAAACAAGACTAATATTTGAAATAAAAATGTGATGCAATTACTATCAGAGGAGACCCATTGGGAATCTGATTCAAGAGACGGCCCCCTTTGGGACTTTGCCTTCTTAAGAGACACATTTTATTTCATTACTCCACAACTGCCTCTTTATGAGTGAGTGCCTGTCACATATATTAAAACACACACTCTGCAGTTGATATTGCAATAATAATAAATTGGATTATACAGTATATGACTTATTGGAGCTGTTGCTTTAAGGGTCTGAAACACAAAACCTGCAACACTGGCATTGCCATTTTTATTAACTAATCTGAATGAACACTGCATACATTTGTGCCTCAAACCTGAATCAAAATGATATAAGTTGTATCAGAAAAACAAAGATAAGAAATATTATTCAGCTATCCTGGGGCTTCTTCTTTTTGAACAAAATCTCAAAAGAAAGTATGGCAATGTTATACGGAAGGCAAAGTCCGCAATATGTAGCAGAAACAATGTATTTGGGATCTCTCATGGCTGCAGCGTCTTCTCAAAGCGCAGGTGAAAAAAAGACCAGAGCAAAGCGAGCTCCAGAGAAATGCACTAACAGTGATGGATTGTTCATAAGGGAGAAGCTGAGATACACAGGCCCCCGAATGAGCGCCAGCGCTACGAATTAACAGCAGGAGCACAGATTAAAGTAATGTTCCTTTCTTTGTTCTTGTTGTCTGTGCGTAGCAGGTACCCAGGTTTTGTGGTGCGTCCACCTGACATGAGGGAGACGTAAAGATGGATGGCCAGATTTTTATCCACCCCACAGAGGAGGAAAAGACATGTCGGGATGACTGAGTATCAATTCTCCCCAATCCAGCGCCTTCACTTCAAACAGCGTTGAGAGTTAAATGGAGCTCCGGATGACGCCATTGCAGCACGGCCCACCACCGATGAGTCAAGCAGGACCACCACAGCAGACAATGGAGAGGAAATGTCATGGTAAAGGGAATATTTGAATTCTTGAAGCGAGGACTTGAATGTTCCCCACCCGTCCGGGATAATAGAGCAATCAAACATTCATGAGTTTCTGTGTCAACGCGCGGACAACGGCAGGAGGTCGACCTTAACAGACTCGTGACCTCCAATCTTTGCTACTGTTACCTGGAAGTAAAAAGCAAAAAAAAAAAAGATATTATTATTTACTTCTAGTGATTCACAAATAGGAGGAGTGGGTAAAAGTGTCTGTGTTTGAGCATATGTCGTATTTTATGTTAGAGCCTGTGAAGCGCATTATAAATCTAAGACATCATTATTTCTATAGAGCTGCATTACACAGAGGAGCAGTGAATCATGAGGCAACGCTTTCACCAAAAAGGCATATCACAAGGTTCCTTTTTATTGTAATATCACTGAGACCTTGAAGTACATTTTTAATGGCAGCTCACCCGATAACCAAATTTATGACTTATAAAACTGGTTATATAATTCTTTTTTATCATTTAAAATCGTATTAGCCAGAACAAGTTCTCAACCTTTAAATGAAATGCAGACGAAAAGAAAATGTTTCTAATAGATGAAAAGGAGGTGTGAATGTAAAAGTAACAAGTGAAGAGACTGGCAGAGAGCAGCTATGTTGTTGTGCTACAAAAAAAATACTTTTGTTCGATGCCATTTTACTACAAAATGAGAAATGTCAAGAGGAATGAGTGGAAACAGGCTGTTCACTGACTGATAAATGAACTGATGAGACTGTTGCCATACAAAAAAACAATCTGTGATCTGGAAAAGACATAAAAACACTAGATCACTAATGTATAAAATCTCTGGATTATTTTAGAGCAATGCAAAGATTTATGTAAACTTAGTATTTTTATATTACCTTGAAGTAATTTGTCATCTGCTTCTTCTGAAAATGCACGTTTCATTGGAACTGGTTAAATCCACTTGTCAGTCACTTAGAGTATTCTTGAGGCTGATCAATAGGAGGTGTGGGTGTAGAAAAAAGTCTGTTTTTGAATAGAGAGCTACATTCAAGAGGAGATTAGTAATTAGTCACAATTTAGTTTGATTTAACATTTCACCTGATTTGTTTTGTCCTAAAAACCTGAAAAACAGAACTAGATCATTTCAAAGTGTTTGCAGTGGTTCAAAGTTATTCCTCACTTTCCTTATGTATTCCAAGTTTATAAGAGTTTTTTCACAAGTGTGGCATTTGCTGTCATGGTAAAGTTAACAACTAGCATGCTAACAGTGTATTTCCTGATTATCAAACCAGATACAGACAGTACACCGCAAACACATTCTGACTACAAATACCATACAATATATCTGTACTGAGACAACTTTGATCAAATACATAGAAGACAATCAGGTACATACATGCCCTTTAATCAGAATAGCAGATCCTCACAAGAATGAGACCACAAATCCATTTTTGTCACCGTATCACCCAGCCCTATACTGCTCTTTACTCATCCTATATTTAGTTGAAAAATGTCAATCCCACAATAACAAAGAATCCACCAAAAGTGCTGTGCTTCTGAAGTTAGTATTTTTGGCCCGTATCTCAAAATGCTACAGGATCAACAACACACAGTCACTTTGACAGAGAGATGCCGGTGTGTAGTGGGGAAAAAAGCCTGTAATTTGACATCTAGTTAAAGCAATCCTCCCTCCTGAAAAAGCAATCTTGTTCCTTGATTGTCTTCCAGAACGCAGTGTGTG